TCCCTCCCCACCACCCTCAACGGCGGAGCAGCTAAGGGGTATGTGGATGTCCCGCCGGTGGAGCGTGCCGTCGCGATGCAACTGTGTCCGGTGTCCGGCGTCCGCTTCCTCCTGGCGGGGCAATCCACGCCTCCCGTCCAAGGCATGTAAGTTTTCGTCCGGTCTCACGACGAAGGATTACAGAGCCTGTGGACAGGCTGCTTCCGCCCTCCATGCCATGGCGCTTCTGCAGGTACATCAGGGCCAGGCGCTCATGGACATGAACGAGGGTGGTTCTGACCCAGAGCTCCTCCGGGAGCTCCGTGTGGCAACTGACCTCGCTCTCCGAGCGACGAAAGAAACCGCACGTTCAGTCGGTCAGGCGATGTCCACCTTGGTGGTCCAGGAGCGCCACCTTTGGCTCAACCTGGCGGACATGAGGGAGACCTATAAATATCGGTTCCTAGATGCCCCTCTCTCCCAGGTTGGGTTATTCGGCGACGCGGTCGAGAGCTTTGCCCAACAGTTCTCGGTCGCCCAGAAGCAGACGGAGGCCATCCGACACATCCTGCCCCGGCGGACCGCTGCTGTTCCCACCCGTCCGCAGACCCTCCGTCCGCTCGTCGCCGAGGTCGACCTCCTGCGGCGTCCTCCGCTCCCGCTAAGCCTCAGCAGCAGCAGCCACCATCCACCTCACCATCCACCACCTCAGCGTGGAGCAGGTCGCAGGAGGTCGACCACGCCCGTCCCTGCATTCCGCCGCGCTGCCCCACCCCGGGTACGTCTGGTCCCGTCCCGCTTGCACGATGTCTGGGAGCCTTCCCAGCCCGTCTCGCTGGCTCATCCGTACTGTCAGACTCGGCTATGCGATTCAGTTCGCCCGGCGTCCCCCTGTGTTCAAGGGCATTCTGTTCACCCATGTTCTGGCCAATATGAAGACCGGTTTCTACAGCCCGTACTTCATTGTACCCAAGAAAGGCGGTGGGTTACGGCCAATCTTGGACTTGCGTGTCCTGAACCGGTCCCTTCACAGGCTGCCGTTCAAGATGCTTACGCAAAAACGCATTTTCAAATGCATCCGTCCCCAAGATTGGTTTGCAGCGATCGACCTGAAGGACGCGTACTTTCATGTCTCGATTCTCCCTCGACACAGACCGTTTCTTCGCTTTGCCTTCGATGGACGGGCATATCAGCACAAAGTCTTACCCTTCGGGCTGGCCCTCCTTGGCCCATTCCTCTGAGAGAAGACCTGCTCTCTCAGAGACGGGGCACCCTATGGCACCCGCGTCCAGACCTCTGGAAACTCCATGTCTGGTCCCTGGACGGGACACGGAGGTTCTAGGTGACCTACCCCCAGCGGTAGTTGACACCATCACTTCCGCTAGAGCCCCCTCTACGAGGCACCTCTATGCGTTGAAGGGGAACCTATTCGTTGATTGGTGTTCTTCTCACGAGGAGAACCCCCGAACTTGCTCGATCAGAGCCGTGCTTTCCTTCCTGCAAGATGGGTTGGAGCGAAGGCTGTCTCCCTCCACCCTTAAAGTGTATGTTGCCGCTATTGCCACACATCTCGATGCAGTTGAAGGTAAGTCGTTGGGAAAGCACGACCTGATCGTCAGATTCCTGAGGGGGGCGAGGAGACTAAATCCTCCTCGCCCGCTCTCTATACCCTCTTGGGATTTGTCTCTGGTCTTTTCGGCTCTTCAGAGACCACCCTTTGAGCCTTTGCAGTCAGCTGAGTTAAAAATTCTGGGTCCCACTTTATATTAAGTGGCCCTAATACCTGTGAACTTACATGGTTACTAGATATGTACTTAGTATGTAACTACAGTGTAAATACACATTGGTACATAGTATTTACAACTGTAATATTTGTGTAACTACACATATGTAACAACCCACGGAAAGGTATGTGTAAGTACAAATGTGTAACAGGACATTGGTAACAACACTTTTTCCACTACAGGAAGTACACATGTGTAACAGGCATTATGTAACTACATTTTGTAACAACAATATGTATTCACACAAGTTGTTCCACTTCCACACGCAGTCTTCCATACTGTAGTTACCAGTTAAGAACACACTGAAACCATGATGATTCCTATGTGTATACCATGTATTTACTATATGACCGGCAGGACTTATGTTGAATTACAGCTAAAGTTTTCCCTTGTGGTACCAGTGTACATACATGGTAACTCCTCAGGAACTCTGCACTTGATACAATGTGTTAAACTGTCATAACTTACATGTATTATGCAAAACCCAAACCTCTGTGCAACTGTACTAACAGTGTACTTACATGGTAACTCCTCAGGAACTGTCCACTTAATATAAAGTGTAAAATGGTTAAAACTTACTGTGTATTATGCAAAACCCAAACCTCTGTGCAACTGTACTAACAGTGTACTAACATGGTAACTCCTCAGGAACTGTCCACTTAATATAAAGTGTAAAATGGTCATAACTTACTGTGTATTATGCAAAACCCAAACCTCTGTGCAACACTGTATTAACAGTGTACTTACATGGTAACTCCTCAGGAACTGTCCACTTAATATAAAGTGTAAAACGGTCATAACTTACTGTGTATTATGCAAAACCCAAACCTCTGTGCAACACTGTATTAACAGTGTAACTTACTTACATGGTAACTCCTCAGGAACTGTCCACTTAATATAAAGTGTAAAACGGTCCACTGAAAAAAGTGAAACTACTGTGTCGTTCATTTAAAGTGCATTTTTATATTGGCCTAAAGTGAAAATCACAGTTTCTGATTTAAACCTGTTTTGTTCAGTTTTCCTTAAAGCAAATAACAAACACAAAAAAATTATACTTTGGACCAACTTAAAAAAATTACTGTAATTTGTTACAGCTAAATTTATTAGTTTTTCTCAAGCTATATTTTTGATTTGGTTTAAACTTAAAATTTTAATTTAATATCAATCAAGTTATTCTGCTCAACAAAAAGTTAAAGTAACACTGAAGCGGTGTTAAAGCTAATGAGATAATTAATGAGATAATTAAGTGATTAATTGAGTGATGATTGAGCATTATTGAAGACACCTGATGTTAACAAGCAGAATCTCTGAAGGAGAAAACCGGAATTTTTATGTCACCGTTATGGAGATCAGTCTGTGTTTTAGTTGGGCTCTTGGCCCTTAAATCATTAACTTTAGATGTTGTTTGGCTGCTGTACTTGAGTTATAACAGCCAGATTAACAACTAGAATAGGTGATCTGATGGTGTTGGTTGTGTTTTAACAATCATTATTTCACAATCATTTGACCTGAATCACTGAACTCATATTGAGTCCAATTTAGGTTTACTTTATTAATTATAGCAGCACTGGCCTTGTACAGCATAATATTTTTACCTTTTACAATGAAATCCAAAGATTTTTTTTTAAACATGTCTCATGTACAATAAATAATTTATTGATTCGATTTTGTTTTTAGACACACAGACATCAAGAATCAGCCTGTGAATCTCATCAATGGTGACAATAATAAGCATGTTACAGTGCATTCTGGGTGCCACCAATCAAAACTCATTCATGGCTCCCAGCATGCATTGCTGCATGAATAAATAATGAGCTTGTGTTCAGAGGTGATCTGTTTGTCACCATTGCTGAGATTCATATGCTAATTATTGATGTCTGTGTGTGCCAACATAAGTGGTTTTGAAGTTTTCTTTTTATTGAATTGATAATTTGGATTTCATTGAAAAGGCTAAAAATATTATGCTGAACAAGGCCAGTGCTGGTATAATTAATAAAGTAAACCTAAATGGGACTCAATTTGAGTTGATTCAGGTCAAATGATTGTGAAATAATGATTATGTTAAAACTCAACCAACACCATCAGATCACCTTTTCTAGTTGTTCATCTGGCTGTCAGCAGCCAAACAACATTAAAAGTTAATAATTTAAGGGTCAAGAGTCCAACTAAAACACACACTGATCACCATAACGGTGACTTAAAAACATTTTTTTTCTCCTTCAGTGATTCTGCTTGTTAACATCAGGTGTCTTCAATAATGCTCAATCATCACTCAATTAATCACTAAATTATCTCATTAACTTTAACACTGCTTCAGAGTCATTTAACTTTTTGTTGAGCAGAATAACTATTTTGATTGCTATTAAATTAAAAATTAAAGTTTAAACCAAATCAAAAATATAGCTTGAGAAAGACTAATAAATTTAATTGTAACAAATTACAGTAGGTTCCAAGGTTCCTACCACTCCCTTCAGGGACCAGGTGGTGAACCTGCAAGCGCTGATTTCATCAACATCAAGCTGATAACACCTGGTCTTACATATTCTTGGCTTTCCTTGCAACATCAACTGTGTTTTACAAACACACAGTTACAGCAGCCAAAGAAAAGCTAAAGTAAAAATAAAGGGGACCAAGAGCCCAACCAAAGCAAACACTGATCACCACAATGGTGACACTTCAAATGAAACTAATATCAACATCTAAACCTCTGCTAATTCTCACTAAGATAATCTGACAGCAATAGTCAAAGTAATTATGTCTAAATGAGACCATAAATGATGTAAAAAATATGTCCACAATGACCACATTTGACCTAGTTTTTAACCTTGTACGAAGGGTCCATGAATGTCTATATCGGACGTGCAGAACACGTCAAAAAAAGACGTCTTAAAAACTTTCATTCTGGCTCCTCAGTGGACGTCATTTCAACGTCCGACTTTTGTGACAAAGACTTTAAAAAGACGTCTTTTGGACATCATTTTGCTTAGTGGGTTACATCAGTAACCGAGACGTTTTCCAACTCCAAAAGGAGTAACACACTGATCTGAAAAAACCTGTCAAGTGTCTGTCCCAGTCCGTCTGTGAAGTGTGAGTTGTCCTGGGCGACTATGAGGTTATACCTCTATCTTTGTGATGACATATACATGACAGGACCCTTTGGATCAATAGTGATTTGAATTAACTGAACACTGAACATTGTATACATAGACACATTAAAGTGTTATTTCTATTTCACAGCCATCCCAACCTTGGCCAGAGAGAGGAAGCCGCAACGAAGACTGTTTGAGCAGGGAGAAAGCACAGTCCTCTACTGTAACCCCCCAAGGAGCTCTGTCGCTCCCAAAATACACTGGATGGACAAGCGTAAATTTCCTAACAAGTCTTTTTCTGCCTAACTAAATGACCCTGCATGACACTTTAATTGATTGAACTAAATCACATTCCCCTCTTTCTTTTTGTCAGAATTGCACCACATTCCTCTGAGTGACCGGGTGACCATAAGTCTGGACGGAAACCTGTACTTTGCCAACTTATTAGTCAAGGACAGCAGAGAAGACTTCACCTGCAATGCCCACTACACCACTGCCAGCGTCATCCTACCTAAAGAGCCCATCGCCATCACCGTCACAGCCTGTGTGTGAACCTTCTTCTGCCAGTGATTAGAACACATTACACAGAACATATATTTTATTTCTATAACAGAACCCAAGGATGCTTTACAAATCAGAACAAAAAGAAGGGAACTGAAGCATGCCCAAAGAGCAAAAAAAAAAAAGCATTGAAAAAGCATCAAAAATAGCATTCAAGTGATAAATTGGGCCAAAATGGTATATATATATATATATATATATATATTACCAAAGGACAGAATTATTATTATTGACTAAAACACAGTCTGAGATTAACCAAAATTTATATTGCATATAATTGTCATAGAAATGCACAATTGACAGTAATTTTCGTATGCGTTTTTTCGTATTCGTGATTCGGTGGCTCTGAATTGTCAAAACACCATTCAAACTGCTTGCTACGGATGCGAAAAACGCAGAAAATCGAGCCCGATCTGCTTTTTTTTTATGACGGACGAAAGTTTCGGAGGCAGTGTGCAAGCGTGATTGACATAACGTGAGGTCGTATTTATTTTTTAACGTGTGGAAATTTCGGACGCGAATTACGGACTTAGTGTGCAAGGGGCTTTAAGCATAAATATTCTGCTAACTGCTATACATCTGTAAAAACACCATTAACGCAAATATAATTCTGACAGACTTACTGATATCCAGGCTGGAGGAAATTCAAGTTGACTCTTGTACAGTAGAGGGTGCAGCTCAATAAAACACTTTCACCTGTGCTGCCATTCTGGATCGCAGAAGAATAGGACGCTGGTGAATTAAGTTCAACACTTTTACTTCAAAAGTAAAAACCAACAAATTGTTATCTTTAAAATAACAAATGTGATTTTTAAAATATTTTTTTGTTATTAGTATGGTTGAATTGGATCATTGAAGGTTAGCAGCAAAGACATTGGTTGATAAAGTGAGATTAAATACATAAAGTATATTTTTATTATTTAACATATTTAATTACTACAGGTTTGTGTAATTTTTTAGAGTTTGCGTTTCACATTTTTTATTCATTTTAAGGAATACTTAATCTGTTTTTTGTGCAAGTGAGATGAATAAATGCTCACATTTAGTCTAGACCTACAATAAGCATCATATTCACACGGAACGCATCTGCCGCACTCAATCACGATCCTCTCAACATGAGGACAGGAGAGAATCTCTTCTCTTCTCTATTCTCTCTATACATTGGGGAAACAAAGTAACTTGAGTTACTTATTAGAAAACATAACTCAGATATTTTGTTGTAAATTTAAAATTAATGTGTTACCTTACTAGTTTCTTGAAAAAAGTAACTCATTATGTAACTTACGTTACTTGTAATGTGTTACCCTCAACACTGCTGATATCTTAATTCGTGATTTGTTTTGAATTCATGGAAGTACAAGCTTTAGTCCTGCGTCTCCCGATGGTTAGTCCAGTTTCTTTTTCAACTGTTCATGAGCAGGGATTCAAAAATGCGCAAGTACAATCTCTACCAAAAAGAACCTGCGCAGAATTCACTTTATAAATCCCGATAAATCTCAGTCAGCGGAAGATTGTGCGCACATGCGTCTCCTCCCCGAAATAACCATATATGGAGCTTACAACGCCTAGTTTTACTATGCATATCCTCATCTGCATATAATTTGCATATAATTATTCATCCACGTTATAACATGTTTAACGGTACAAGACATTAGGAAAATATGAAATAGCCTGGATGTGCCGTCACATTAGCCTACATTAATACAAATAATTTAGTAGCCTATCCTTGCCTTGTTTTTGAATAATTAAATCAAATAGTGTAAAATACATTTCAGAGAAAGTTTTCACAATCTTTTCCACTGACCAAATAGTATTTTTTATTGATTTATATTTTTAATGGAAACAGATAGACTGTTGTGTATTATTTGCATGAAACTATTTTCTCAGACAATCTGCTATAAGCAATTATCTCTTTAGTTAAAGCTGCTGTCCGTAGCTTTTTTTGGGTTAAAAATTATCCAAAATACATATTTGATAAAATACATAACCAGCCAGTGTTCAAAACTATCTGCTTGCCTTAGCTCGATGCAAAACGGTAAGCTTGTAATAATGTTTTTAATTTTAGTGGTACTGGTGGATTTCCGCGGGAGATTAGAGCATGTCTTTGCGTCATTACGTCACATCTGTACACATAAAGAAGGAGTCTCGGCTAGTATAAGCTATATTGCGTGTGAGGATGTTGGAGGTAGAGATTTATAGCCTTTTCTCACAGCACTTGATATAATTAAACTTATCAATTTGATGGCGGATCCAGAAAGGTTCAAACGACGATCATCATCAGTGACAACTAGAGACTCACCCGCTGTAACATGCAAAAGACTTCGTTCGGACTTCGGAGTGGCTACAGAAAAAAAGAGACTGCAACCGGACCCATGCGAAAACAAGGATAATATCGGAAGGACATTACATGATGTAGTCACGCAATGCTTGCTGACGTTGTTAACATTAACAATTAGAGAACATAGTATAGCTACTTTGCACGGTTTTGCGTGAAATGATAACTTATAAGCAATTGTTAGATTTAATCAGCGCGATTTACTGCAATGTCAGAACCAGAACAAAAGTGAATGTTTCTTACTAGTTCAGATGACATTTCCCGGTGAAAATTCTTATGTTGGTCATACTTCCAAAAAGAATAATCTGTGATTCTGAATGACAATATCCACATCGGCGCGGTGACTGACAGCTGCACACTCTCCTCAAACACTGTGTTCATCCGCGCTGTGCCGTGTCGAGGGTGTTGAACTACAACCCACGTAAAGTTCATAATTCCGCGAATGACTGCAATTGCAGATTTCGAACAGAGATGGCGACAAAGAGGAAAAACGCCGGACTGCAGCTTTAATATAAAACTATCAAGATAGCATATCAGCTAGTCAGGGCCATCAGAGCCTGTTGAACGGCTACTCTTCGCGCCAAATGTATAATCTGTTAATTTGAAGCATTTCACAGCATCTACCTCTAATGCTTTTTTTAACCGTCGGCTAAAATTGGTCCTCGTCGGCTTTTTTTTTGGCCGATTCGACATGTCAAAGAGGAAAAATGCCGGACTGCAGCTTTAAAATATTAAAACACAGCATGCCAGAGGAAAAGTGTTCAACAGCATTGCATCCACAACAAATATTTATATTTACTGAATATAAAAAATGTTGTAACTTCTCAGTAATGATTTCATGTTTAAGTGTTTAACTCCATCAATGACAATGGCATATTTAATCTAAATGTTTATATCAGAAGTAAAACAGTTTGAATCATTCTTTTATTTATTTAAACTGTTATTGTGAACACGCACTGTTTTTATGATTAGGACTCTGTCGTTAGATAGGCGTTAGTTTCACTAAACGGCACAACGCGCTTGCTGGCGCGGACATTTAAGAAGGGATGAATATTTGCGTCAAGTGATATGCTTGGTGAGTGAAATTATATTTGTATTATCTTTCTGTATAGCCTATGTATAATTTTCTTTAGATTTTCTGTCTAAAAGTGACCAAAAAGACATTTAACTCCAGCTCACCATCGGTGTCGCCAAACTGCTCCGTCTCCGAAACGCTCGTACGCATGGGTCAGAGTTTGCGTGCAGGTGCGCACATTTTTCCGTCAAGTTTGTTTTTATAAATCACAACTTATGCGTCGGAAGTGGCGTACGCCTCTTTCAGGGCCTGTTTTGTGCGTACGCAACGGTTATAAATGAGGCCCCTGATCTTCAGAATAAACTGGAAGGCCGACTTCAGACCAGGATTCATTGCCCAGTACTTTGCCTCACTAATGCTCTTGATTCTTACTTTACACTTGTTTAAATAAGTGTGGCAAAAACAGACAATAAGACATGAAACGTGTTGAAGTTTCCCTTCCTTTTTGGCGAAGAGAGCCTTTTGAAATGGATAAAACTTAGTTGTGTGATTGAATGGTGTTCTCCTGTTTTCACAGCAAATTCAGTGGTGAAGAGCCGGCCGCCCCAGCTGCTCCAGCCCACAGGACACCACAGCTCTTATCTGGTGCTCAGGGGCCAAACGCTGACTCTAGAGTGTATCCCAGAGGGCCTGTGAGTGTTCAGCCAATCTCTTATCATGCCTGCTGGGTTTAAACAAACCACTGTTCAATTGAAATCTGCTTTACAAGCTGCTGTACTGCACTTCTGATTATTAATACATGCATTAATATAGGAATTCTGACTTTCTTATGTTTTAAGGCTAATTATTAAAATGTTAGCTTTAACAAATAATATAATAACATATTTTAATGTTACGTTTATGAACATGTTTACAGTAGTTTACACATTTAATGTATTTAGGCACTAAATACATTAAAGGTATTTAGTTTATTAAATACCAGGATCACTGGACGGCAAGGACAAGTGTAAGCTGTCATTGATGTTTGCAGTGCATTCAAAAAAATTATAAGTTGGCTTTAATTAACTTTTTTATGTAAACAGATTCCACATAACTGGGTTACGTTAAACAAACATAATGTGTTCATGTAACTTCAACATCATGGAATTAAGTCATTTTAAGCGACCCAATTAAACTCTGAGCGGTGTTAAAGTTAATGAGATAATTAAGTAAACAATTTAGTGATGATTGAGCATTATTGAAGACACCTGATGTTAACAAGCAGAATCACTGAAGGAGAAAACCGGTATTTTAGGTCACCGATGGGCCACTGGTATCTTTCCGCTCGCAGTAGGAGCGCAGTGGGTAGACTGGATCGCTTTACAACAGTTGCAGAGCCGCACTGAGTGCTGGAGATTCGCTGTTGGTCCTTTTGTAATCCAGAGAACTGTAGGTCAGGCAGTGGTCTATCCACAGGATCCTTTGTAGGAAGGAGGTTACAAAGGCAAGAGTCGTGCAGGTCAGGTGTTGAATGTTGGAGCCGAAGTCCTCTGCAGAAGCGGTTAAGCTGCTTGAAGGTCCGTGGGGGTGAAGGTTTACTTGCGAGAGTACAACCTTGGTCATGCTGTTGTTCCTTCCCTCGTCAGGAACTCAGAATGAGAGTGTGTTCGCTTCGGAAAGCTTTTATTCCTTCCAGTTGGGGAGGAAATGACTAATTCCCACTTTCCTACTCTAGTGGTGTGATTGGGTTGTAGCATTCCAAGTGTCCACCCATCCCATCCCACCTTTCCTGTGGAGCTTGTTGCGTTGTCCCAAAATACACAGTTAAATGAAAGTCTTTAGAACATTGGAAATGCTTTATTTCTCTTCCAAACCTTTCTGAAAGCCCCCCTGAAATCAAAATGTACGTTTTTTTAGCTCTAAGTATGAATACGTTAGCCTTAAGATTATGAATAAGCTGGTGTGTTCCAAAACAATGACAAAATTCGCATTTAGGAGATAAGCATTCAAAACTTCCAGTCTCTCACTTCCGCTAAAATTGGTTCACGGATTTTAATGACATCACCACAGACTTCTGCTTCTCATCACGTCTTCTGTCCAATCAAATGCTCTCTAGAATCTAAAGCATCCCACCACCTATGCCATACATACCACCTTGCCAAAGTGACCGTGGCTGTATCTGTACACTCCATAGTACACGCAGACTCAGTGTCAGCTGCTCGTGCTCATCAGTTCTCTCAGCACAACATGTATCAGTTCAATGACCAGTTGGAGTTACTGGAGTAACATATACACCGGGATATTGGTTTATTTCGAGTCGGAGGGACTGTCAGGCACGTCCGAAAGTGAGGAACTTTAGAAATCTGTGGATCAGCGCTGACTCAAGACACAAACAGTTTTGAACAATTCAGTTCGATTTGGTGAACTGGTTCGACCGGTTCAAAAAAAAGTACTGGTTCAAAAGAATTATTCGTACATCTCTACCGTTGACACGTCATGGAGCAATATGGGTTGGAGATGTGTGTTGGGTTGCTCAAACGCTCAAGTTTTATTCCGTCTTACAACTGTACGTTTGTTAAGAATGAAATGGCTTGAATTGTTTCACCTCCAACGTATCAGCGCACGGATTCGCTTTCATGGTGCTGTCAAGTACGACTTGCAGTCTGTGAGGTAAACTGAACGCTATGGCTATTTGAAAAGGCGGAGGAGCCATTCAAGATGTCCCGCCTTAGCTTCCTATTACAGTGGAAATTACGTCAACACATCATTCAAAGCTGCATGTTTCAAGGCACTTCAGTGGGCCTTTAAATTCCTTGAGGCTGTGTTCTGAACTTGTAGAGTTGCAAATAGTGGATAGTGGGTGAGTTTACATTGGCTGTTATTTCAGGTGCGGTTTCCACTGTGTGTGCACAGTTCCCTGGATAAAGAAGGAGATGTCTAGGACATGTTCCTTACAGTTTCCTTCCATTTTTGTGGTTTCAAGCCAATATGTATAAAGATTGTTTTTTTTATTAGGGCCTTTCTTTGTTCCTACTGTGTTCTAGCCAGAACTGGTTTGGTGGTCCTGGGCAGTCCGTGGTCGTTCACACCTTGATCTCAGGAATGGAGGGTTGAGGTGATCAATGGGCAACTGGTGATTAGATTAGCCTGCGATCAACGGGTCCTTGATGTCGCCACCTCTGGCAGTCCGGATTTCCATAGTCCTTTAGTTGTCTCGGAGGGTCCTGTCACATCCTTCTGTCTTCTTGATCACAGTGGGACAAAGGGACTCCTGTTGTTAAGTGGGGACCTCTGGTGCCATCATGTCTGCTGTTCACTACACGTGTTTATCAGTGTCTGAATTTGCTCACTCCTTTTCATTCACTCTGTCAAGTGGACTATAGTGAACTAATGTAGGGAAGGGTGAATGAGGGTATAAGGTGTGATTTGGAACAAAGCCTCTGAGTGTCAACTTTAAGTGCTGTTGATTCAAAGTATATTTTTGTAGGCTATTTTCTCGAAAACGACAAATATTACCCACAATGCATTGTTTTCCACGGTATATTACTGTTTTAATGGAAAGTGATATGTTACTGTTAGAATTTGGCCATTTTTTTACAGCAAGGTTTAACAGTGTTGACTAGTTATTAATCGTTCTTGGGAATTATTTTTAGAAGAATAGAAGTAGATTATTAGTATTAATGGCGCTTTGCAGATCTCAATTCTTCTTACCTTTCCTACCATTGGAAAGGGATCAGTAGGCTCATATCTCTCAGAATATAGGATCATTTAACTTGAACTAGCAAGAAGTCTTTTTATGATCACTTTGAAAACTAATAACTATTGCTTCCTCTGATTAAGACCGACTCCAGAAGTACAGTGGAAAAAGATGGACAGCCCTCTCTCTCCTAGCCATGTGAGGGAGCTGCACTACGGCCGATGGCTTAAGATTGAGAGCGTGTTGGAGACGGATGATGGCGAGTATGTCTGCACTGCCACAAACAGCCTGGGCTCCATCAAGCATCAATACACCGTCACAGTCGAGGGTAAGACACACACTGTCCTTTATACACATGTGATATCTACTTACTATAGTAATAAAAGTACATTACCTAGGTCTATAACCATAACCCTATCAATCATATTTTTTGTACTGTATACTTATCATATTATTTTAATTTAATACACTGGGTTGTTGACGAATAGATTTGCCTTTTACTGCACTTTATTTTTCTAGTTCTTTACCTATAAAGGCGGCTAATGAAGTCAAGTCAAGTCATCTTTATTTATATAGCGCTTTTTACAATACAGATTGTATCAAAGCAGCTTCACAGTGATAGCATGAAAATAAATACAAGAAGTTTGTTTCTAGAATAAAATTGCGTCATCGTCCACCTGAAGTAAGGCAGATCAAAAATATTGTTGAATAATTAAATGTCCCCAACTAAGCAAGCCAAAAGCCAAGGCGACAGTGGCAAGGAACCAAAACTCCATCAGTGACAGAATGGAGAAAAAAATCCTTTGGAGAACCCAGGCTCAGTCGCTCAGTTCTTCTCTGGCCAAAGAGCGAACAGTGTGTGATTATGATTCAGGCAACATTACAGGTCAGAAGTCAGATTGGATCAGAATATTCAGAATATTATACAGTTCCATCTGGTCAGTCATCACGCCGTCATCACGTCATCACGCCGGTATGGAGACGAGTTTGTAGAGGTGTCCATGAGGCCTCCACAGGGCTGATGAGGCTGGCTCTGCAGGGATGCGTTGTGGTCGTGTCCAGGCGCAGGTTCAACAACTGATCTGGATATGGCCCGGATATGGCCCGGATCCGGCTGACTTCAGTAAACCTCGGCATAAATGGAAAGACTGACATTAGCGTAGATGCCATTCTTCTTAAGATGTAACGAGTACATCGGGTGTTTTGGGGAGTGTCCCCAGTTCCGGCTGACCTAATCTATGCAGCCTAATAATCATTTAACTGATTTCAATAATAGACTTTATAAATCCAACAGTGATTCTAACTAACACTTTTTAGTAAACTCTACTTAATGTCTTAACTTAATTGTAAAAATATAGTAACATGTATTCACACACTTTGTTTACTCAGAAACCCCAAGTAAAGATTAATTGATTGGTTTGAGTGTGGTTTTTCTGGCGGGAAAAATCTTAATGGAGTTTTCACTAATTTCCTCCACTTCTGCAGTTATTTTTCTCTGTTTGCATTCACTTATTTCCCAAAGTCATCTTGAATGTTGAATTGTCAATTTTGAGAGAACATAACATAAGCTGACTTCATACACTGATGTTGATTTTTCTAAAATATTTTTAGTCACGATTCGCCATAATGGGAAATCAACATTAATTATTTTAGGAAAATCAACATTAATGTTCCTTTTGGTTGGTCACTTGGAACTTCATTTATATTATTATTATTATTCTCTTCCCATTGATGCAACAAGAAATCAATTATATGATTTCAAAGGCAGAGAAGTAATATATATATATATATATACACACACACACACACACACACACACAAATATATATGTATACATATGTATATATATGTTTGTGTGTATGATTGATGTATAACTATATTTCATGACAATAAATATCTTTAATAAAAACAATAAACACTTATGACCTAAACACCTTGTGAAACTTTTGAGTTAATATAATCCCATATAAAAGTTAAATATAAAAGTGACAAGCTTGTAATTGATCATGCTTGAGTTATTCAGCATGCAAAACGCAACAGTGGTAACAATTAAATTGTATTTAAAGTAAATTATCAAGTACTCTCTACAGTTCTTTTTTAGTGTCTAGAACTCTTGTGTAAGTGAACTATACTAACTAAGCATTTGTCCGTTCAACATACTATTCCTATTTCACTTTACTTGAAGAAAATGTGGAAACCGATTGCACATATTTTTTTAAGTCTCCATATCTTAAAATGGCAGATTAAAACCATGTTGAGAATAATAGTAATAATAATAATAATAATTCATTACATTTATATAGCGCTTTTCTAGGCACTCAAAGCGCTTCACATGGAAGGGGGAATCTCCTCAACCACCACCAATGTGCAGCATCCACTTGGATGATGCGACGGCAGCCATAGTGCGCCAGAACGCCCACCACACACCAGCTTACTGGTGGAGAGGAGACAGAGTGATGAAGCCAATCAGTGTATATTTATGAGGATGATTAGGAGGCCATGATGGACAGAGGCCACTGGGCAAATTTGGCCAGGATGCCGGGGTTACACCCCTACTCTTTCGAAAGACATCCTGGGATTTTTAATGACCACAGAGAGTCAGGACTCGGTTTAACGTCTCATCCGAAGGACGGTGCTCTTTGACAGTATAGTGTCCCCGTCACTATACTGGGGCATTAGGACCCACACAGACCACAGGGAGAGCGCCCCCTGCTGGCCTCACTAACACCTCTTCCAGCAGCAACCTGGTTTTCTCAGAAGGTCTCCCATCCAGGTACTAACCAGCCTCAGCCCTGCTTAGCTTCAGTGGGCAACCAGTCTTGGGCTACAGGGTGATATGGCTGCTGGCTAGTAGTATTTAAGATGTTTGCAGAACACATTATAACACTGTTAGTTAAATGAAATTACTCAAGTAATCTTACTATTAAATCTTAAGTAAGATTAGTAAATATTATTTAGTATGTTAACTAGAATTGACATTAAACTAACTTGATATTTATACTTAATTTACTTGGGAAGAGTTAGCTTTCTTTACTTTTAGCCGATTATTAACTTAATTTCAGTTTTCCCTTTAAGTTTGCTTTGCAAAAATAAGGCAATCGGTTTCCAAACTTTTTTTAAGTAAATTGTACTTGTTAGAATTTACAGTGTAGAAATGTATAATGTTCTATGTGAATGTCAGATAAAAGAGATGTGTTTTTAGTCTAGATTTAAACTGACAGAGTGTGTCTGCTTCCAGGACAATAGTAGGAAGACTGTTCCAAAGTTTTGGTGCTAGAGAGGAAAAGGATCTACCGCCTGCAGTCGATTTAGATATTCTAGGTATTATCAACTGGCCGGAGTTTCGAGATCGCAATAGACGTGAAGGACTATAATGCGTTAAGAGCTCGCTCAAGTACTGCGGAGCTAAACCATTTAGTGCTTTGTAAGTAGACAGCAATATTTTAAAATTGATACACTGTTTAATAGGCAGCCAATGCAGTGTTGACAGAACCGGGCTAATATGGTCATATTTCCTGGTTCTGGTCAGAACTCGAGCTGCTGCGTTTTGGACTAGCTGTAGTTTGTTTATTTAGCGTGCAGGGCAACCACCCAGTAGAGCATTACAATAATCTAGCCTTGATGTCATGAACGCATGAACTAACTGTTCCGCATTTGTCATTGAAAGCATATGTCGTAATTTAGATATATTTTTAAGATGGAATAATGCGGTTTTACATATGCTGGAAATGTGACTTTCAAATGAAAGATTGGAATCAAAGAGCACACCCAGGTTCCTAACCGACGACGAAGACTTGACAGAGCAGAATTTTTATATCAACTATGCATTCCGTTAATTTTGTGAATTGGTGCGTTTTGTCGGGCGCGGAGAAATATAGAGCTGAGTATCATCGGCATAACAGTGAAAACTAATGCCATGCTTCCTAATGATATCTTCCAAGGGTAGCATGTACAGAGTGAACAGCAACAGTCCTAGTACTGAGCCTTGTGGTACTCCATACTGAACTTGTGATCGAAAAGACATATCTTCGTTTACTGCTACAAACTGATAACGGTCAGATAAGTATGATTTAAACGATGCTAATGCAATTCCACTAATGCCAACATAATTTTCGAGTCTATTTAAAAGAATGTTGTGGTCAATGGTATCAAATGCAGCACTAAGATCGAGTAACAGTAATAGAGAGATACACACACACACACACACTCCAGATCTGATGAAGGAACTGCGCCTGAACACGACGACAACGCAGTCCTGAAGTGTCAACTAGGCCTCTTTCCCTTTACCTCTGTACAGATAAAACGCTGTCGGGATAATTCCGATTCACGTTGCTCCACGGAAGCGATTAATAATTCTGTATTATCATTTTTTTTAGGCCAAAAAAATATTTTGTTGAGGGTTGGTTTGTATAGAAGGCCTACATGCCTGCGCACATATCTTTAAACACACATACCTATAGACTAAACACGTGATGTGCATGTGCACGGCGTCTGCGTTTTCGCGGTTTTGCATTTTTGAGGTTTGCGCAGAGATAACCTTTTTTTATTTTTTTATTCTAGGCTTGCACCTTGGAATCTATTTCAGGCTTTGAAACTATCTATATTGTTAAAAGCTCTATATAAATGAAGGTGACTTGACTTTCATTTAGTAAATTTGACTCTATGATTTTTACAGTACATTACTGTTTTTTTATTTAACGGTAAATTACTGGCAACAGTGTCAAATTGGCCAGTATATTACTGTTTTTCTAAAGTCTGTTTGGGGTAAACAGTGCCGCAGTGAGTTAATTAAGTGAATATGTAAGTGATCATTGAGCATTTATTGATGAACACCTGCTGTTAACAAGCAGTATCACTGATGGAAAGAGAAAAAACAAGAACAAAAAAGAGACGTACAGAAACACAAGAACTACAGCTGACTTCCAGCCATTACACATTACACTTATTACTAGCCAGTATGTAGTACACCTGATCAACTTCCTCTTGGCTTTTTCTTGCCCTAACAAATGCACTTTACAAAAATACAGTTACAACAACCAGCGAAAATTTAATGTTATAAAGTTAAGGGTCAAGAGTCTAACAAAAGCAAACACTGATCACCATAAGAGTGACAACAAACTTTATTATTTTGAATAAAATATCAAAACCTCTGTTAATTCTCAACAAGAACTTCTGTAGATGAATGAAAGATACTGGCTTTAAAACTGGTTTGACACTCAATGTGGCTGGAATTCAGTTATAGTTCTTGTGTTTCTGCTTATCTCTTCTCCTTTTTCTGTTCTTGTATCTTGTGAAAACAAATATTACCCACAATGCATTGTTTTCTACAGTATATTACTGTTTTAATGGAAAATCATATGTCAAGTTAAGTCACCTTTATTTATATAGCGCTTTTTACAATACAGATTGTATCAAAGCAGCTTCACAGTGATAACATGAAAATAATACAACAAAGTTTGTTTCTAAAAGAAAATTGCGTCAACGTCCACCTTAAGTAAGGCAGATCAATAATATTATTGAATATTAAATGCCCCCAACTAAGCAAGCCAAAAGCCAAGGCAACAATATGTTACTGTCAAGGTTTTACTGTGCACCAAAAAAGTGAATGAAATGAAAATAACAGAACAGAATGAAGTCTTACTTATTTTAGAACCCTAGACTGACTAACAAAATCAAAGAGATCACTGACACCCTGGTTTTGAAAGTATTACAGTTTGATTTTGATTGTTTGCAGCTGCTCCTTACTGGACCAAGTCGCCTGATGACCAGCTGTACGCCCCAGGAGAGACTGTGAGACTGCAGTGTCAGGCTGATGGGATACCAACCCCAAACATAACATGGAGTATCAATGGAGTTCCTATCACAGGTACACAACGGGCCACAGCTTCATTTCATCTCTTCATCTACACTGTTAGACCTTACCAGGCTTTTTTTCCAGTAAAACACTGGCAACACATGCAAAAACCGACTGTCATTTAAATGTATGAGCTAAAATTTATAATGCACTAATAATGTGAGCAAAGTATTACTGTGAACTTATTTAATTTGAGACCACTAAAAAATATTGTAAATAAAGACCATTGGACCAGCAACTACACAGTCACCGCCTGTTAAATAAAGCAACATGCAGTATATCATCAATGTTTATAGATCTTCTCCTGGACTGAAGCACAGGCTCTATTCTTCAGCACAATGGTGACCCCCCCATTTTACAGTAAACTACTGGCAAAACTATTGCCAGTATATATCTGTTTTATTATGTACAGTTTATTACTGTTAAAATACATTCAGTTAGCATGTCTTTTTATCTTACACTGTTAATGAACCCTTTCAACCCCACAGGAAAATCCACACTACAAAGAGTAAAAGTAACATTGATGCAGTGTTCCAGTGAGATAATTGTGTATTGCATTAGTGATGAACACCTGCTGTTAACAAGCAGAATCACTGAAGTAAAGAGGAACACTAGAACAGAAAATAGAGAAACACAAGAACTACAACTGACGTCCAGCCATTACACATTATTACACTTATTATTAACCAGTATGACTTTATTTCTGTCATACAGTTGGTATTCAACCAGAATAATACTGTGGCGGCAATAAAATTGTGGATGTGTAATTTGCTGCCTTTTACCGCTAAATGGCACTATTCACAGAGTTTGAAAAGTGTCCGTTTATTCTCTCTATTATGTAATCTGCCTCTGTGCTGCGGCTCATTGAGAGCTGGTAGCAGATAAATTCAAGTGAATTGTTGTAGTTAAACGAATGCATAATCACAATACTGAAATTACAGTACAAATTTAAAACTGAAACAAATGTAGGCTTCTCTTATTGCATCAAATTTAAGCAAAGTAGGCTAAACGTTAATATTGTGTGCCCAGTTTTTCTATAATTTAGAAAAGCTATGCATGTCAATAGGTTACTTTGTGTTATTTTTAATTTGTTAGGAGGCCTAGATGTATTAACTGAAACATAACAGTGAAATAAATTAAAATAAATGATCGTAAAATTAAAACATTGTCAGGACTTGCTAACCGATGTTAGTCGGCAGAATTTGTTTTAGCATTCTTTATTAAGAATTAAATAGGCTTACAGTAGATTGTTATGATTAGCATAATTTTCTTTAATAAATAATGAAAACATTTCAACATAAAACATTGCAATATAAAAATGTAACCTCAATGAGGCTTTGCATGAGAGTAAGACGTTAAGCTCATGCTCATAAGACAGCGTTCAGACTATAGCTGTGTGGTCAACGCTACAACACGAGCCTCGCTCTACAATTTTGTCTCTACACAGCAAAATCCCCTGAGTTAAATTAATCGTGGCGGGAAGTCAGTTGTAGTTCTTGTGTTTCTCTTTTTCTGTTCTTGTTGTTTCTCTTTCCTTCAGTGATTCTGCTTCTTGACACCAGGTGTTCATCATTAATGCCCAATCATCACTTAATTAATCACTTAAGTATCTCATCGACTTTAACTCTGATTCAGAGTTATTTTAACTCTCTGTAGAGAGGGACCACATTTTCTCTGAGAAGAGTTAATTTAAATTTCCTGTGTGGCGAATTGGGATCGTGCCTGAGAGCGCCTCAGTTCTCCCTCGACACAGACCGTTCCTACGATTTGCATTCGAGGGACGGGTATACCAGTACAAGGTCCTCCCTTTCGGCCTGTCCTTGTCGTCCCGCATCTTTACGAAGGTCGCGGAGGCCGCCCTTCTACTTGTCTATGTAGACTGCACAAATCGTTTCAGGACCTCAGATCTGCTCTTTGTCTGTTATGGATGCCAGTAGAAGGGAAAGGCTGTCTTTAAAGCACAGAGGGAAACGTGCTGGGGTTCGGAATAGACTAAGGACTAGAGCGCATAGTGCACCTTTGCCCAGTATCCTACTCGCCCACGTCCAGTCGCTTGAGAACAAAATGGATGATCTTAGGGCCAGGATAAGATTCCAGCGGGATATTAGGGACTGCAACATCCTCTGCTTGACCGAAACATGGCTGACCCCGGCGGTACCGGACGCAGCTGTAACACCGTCCGATAACTTCTCAGTTTTTCGGATGGACAGGACAGTATGTTTCATGATTAAAAGCAAATGGTGTGACCCAAGAAACATCATCGCTCTGTCGCATTCCTGCTCACCTCATCTGGAGCATTTAACGATCAAGTGCCGCCCTTTCTATCTGCCTCGGGAGTTCACGTCGGTCATTACAACGGCCATTTATATCCCACCTCAGGCGGACACGGATACGGCCCTGTCTAAGCTCCATGATGTGCTCAGTGTGTGTTTAAACAGCCATCATTGTGACTGGAGATTTTAATAAGGCAAAACTCAGACAGGTAATGCCAAACTTTTACCAACATATCTCCTGTCCAACCAGAGGGAAGAACACACTGGATCACTGCTATTTTCAATTCAGCAATGGTTATAAAGCTAACTTGCTACCGGCTTTTGGGAAGTCTGATCATGCCGCTATCCTGATCATGCCGCTAGACTGATTGGCTTCATCACTGTCTCCTCTTCACCAGTAAGCTGGTGTGTGGTGGGCGTTCTGGCGCAATATGGCTGCCGTCGCATCATCCAGGTGGAGCTGCACACTGGTGGTGGTTGAGGAGATTCCCCCTTCAATGTAAAGTGCTTTGAGTGCCGAGAAAAGCGCTATATAAATGTAACGAATTATTATTAATTATTATCCTTCTCATACCGGAATATAAACAAATGCGCGTGCGGGTAGCTCCAGAGAGGCAGGTTGTGAAACATTGGTCTGCCCAATCAGAACCCATGCTACAGGATGCGCTCGATGACGTGGACTGGGAAATGTTCAGGGCTAGGTCTGGTGACGTCAATGAGTTTGCGGATGCAGCTATCAGCTTTGTTGGCACTCTGGTTGAGGAAGTAACACATACCATCACAATAAAAACTTTCTCTAACCAGAAACCATGGGTTGATAAGACGATCAGAGCAGCAGTGAATGCGCGCACAGCTGCGTACAATGCGGGACTTGTGTTGGGAGATATGAACGATTACAAAGCGGCATGCTATGCTCTCCGACGCGCAGTGCGAACCGCAAAACAAAAGTACAGAGAGCGAGTGGAGTCTCATTTCCGACTTAATAACTCCCGACGCATGTGGCAGGGACTGAGGACTATTAGTGCATTCGGAGGGGGACCCACCGCTGCGGTAAGTGCAGACTGTTCTCTGGCTGATGAGCTGAACATCTTTTATGCGCGCTTTGAGACAAACTGCACTAGTACTACTTTTAGTTTGCCAGTGTGCAACACTGGGGAAATAAACAGTTGCGTCGGGAACGAGCGTATGATCACGGTATCGAAAGACGAAGTTCGTAGAGCTCTGAAGGGGGTTGAGGGTCGAGGGTTGAGATCATGCGCTGATCAGTTGGCGGCCTTGTTTACATCTATCTTTATCTGAGTCTCTCGCTCAGTCAGTGGTACCCACTTGTTTTAAGAAATCTGTAATTGTCCCTGTGCCAAAAAATAATAAGCCCTCTTGCCTAAATGACTATCGACCAGTAGCACTTACGTGACAAGTTATAAAGGTTTTTGAGAGGCTTATCAAGAACATAATGTGCTCCTCCATCCCAAACAACATCGATCCACTCCAGTTTGCCTATCGTCCCAATAAGTGTACTGGGGATGCTGTCTCTCATATTTTACATGCCACTCTCACCCACACTGACAGTAACAAAGGGAATTATATGAGACTTTTATTTATAGATTATAGCTCAGCTTTTAATACTATAGTTCCCCTCAGATTGGTCTCCAAGCTCAGGGGCCTTGGTATGAATGCCCAGCTCTGTGATTGGGTTCTGAACTTTCTCTCGTGCAGAACACAAGTAGTGAGAGTGGGTCAGACCATTTCTAACAGCATTACCCTGAGTACAGGAGCACCACAAGGATGCGTTTTGAGTCCCCTGCTCTACTCCCTACACGTATGACTGTGTGTCCTCTCATAGCTCCACTTATATTGTTAAATTTGCAGATGATACAGTTGTGATGGGTTTCATTGCTGATAACAACATATTTGGATGTGGTGGAGAAATTAACAACATGGTGTCAGTTATACAATCTCTCTCTGAACGTTATTAAAACCAAGGAGATGGATGTGGATTTCAGGAAAAGGCCGCAGCGGCACTATACCACCCTCAACATCGGTAGGACACCAGTAGAGAGAATGAGCAGTTTCAAATACCTTGGAGTGCATATATCAGAGGATTTGACCTGGACTCATCATACTCAAGCCCAAGTAAAGACAGCTAGAACAAGGCTATTCCATCTGCGGTTGCTGAGGAAATTTGGGGTTTCACCTGCAATTTTAAAAACTTTCTATACTGGGGCAATAGAAAGTACATTGACTTATTGCATCTCATCATGGTTTGGAAACTGCTCAGCACAGGATTGTAAAGCCTTAAAGAGAGTGGTGCGCGCAGCAGAGCGTATAACTAGGAATGCTCTTCCATCTATGCAGGATATTTACATCCGACGGAGTGGAGTCAGGGCTGTTAAGATATACAAGGACTCCACTCACCCTGGAAATTCATTGTTTAAATTGCTGCAATCAGGTAGACGCTTTCGTAGTCTGATGGCTAAAACGGAGAGGCTCAGGAGGAGCTTCTTTCCTCAGGCCGTCAGACTACTCAACTCGGACATAAAAAACATTGCACTTTAAGGACTCTGATGACGATGTTTAACACATGGTACTGCACTTATGCACTTTACTAGTTAGTTTTAATACTATTTTAAAATTTTTGCATCTTTTAAATAATATTTAGGGTATGTTTTTATTACACAGTCTATAGGAATACCAGACTTACATTTCACTGCTCGTTGTATTAACTATAACTGGTATGTGACAAATAAACTTTGAACTTGAACTTGAACAGAGGTTGTCCCACTCGATAGTGGATGCCATCGACTTGGAGTTCCAGTCCCTGCCCCTTTAATCGTGAATGCGAAAGATATTATATAAACAATCTTGCCATATTTTCAGACAATGTTTCTCCTTGTAGACCAAAAGGCTTCTGTTGTTCTCTGTGTGTTGTAGAGACGGATTTGGACCCCAGACGGCATGTGAGTTCTGGGACTCTGACCCTGAATAAACTTCAGTACAGCGATACAGCAATCTATCAGTGCATGGCCACCAATAAACACGGCAATATCCTGGTCAACACACACATCCATGTTGTTGGTGAGTGTTATTAGTGTAAACTTTGATCAAATGCAGTTTGATTATTAGTGTATCTTCACACAATGCGGTAGAAAGAAGGGGAATGTTGTCACTCCAGAAAGGGTTCAAACGATGTAATGTGTGCTTAAAAAGGAGTCGAACATCATTTTGTACCTCATTCATGCCAACAACATACTGATTGTTTTTCGTGAGATATTTCTGTAACGGTTGTCCCTGGCCTTGTGTCGGTCAGAGCTGCCTCCTCAGATCCTGACGGCGGATGGGCTCGTGTACATTGCCTCAGCAGGGAAAACCGCCCTGCTGGAGTGCCGAACCTTCGGTTCCCCGCTACCCAAAGTGGACTGGTGAGCATGTGTTGTATATTTTCCCAACACACTTAGCAATGATGCATATAATCTTCTATGTAGTTTTCCCTGCCTGTGTTTAAAAAAAAAGTTGCCAGGCACCGCCAGCTTTTTTGATCATTTTCACAAACATATCATAGGCCTCAGAATATTTTTTTTTTTTTTTTTCATCTGAACATGCAATATATCAAAAGAAAGAACAGACCCTCTGTTTAGAAAAAAAACTGTTTTATTCTAGCTTCATGCATTCTTTATTATCAACACTTGAATGTGTGTAAGTTTCACATAAAAACTAAATTTTGAACAAAAAGCTGAGAAAATCACGTTTTTGTCAAAAACTACATCCAGATGGGATTCAGACCGATGATCAAAAAATTGATGGAGTAAATCGAGTCCATCGACAACACCCCTAATGCTTGAACAGTCCTATAGCTCGTCCTGGGTCAACATTTCATTCAATAACATTAGGCAGTATTGATTAATATGCTGTTTAACTTTTTTTGATTCATATGATTACATATGAGATCGCTTGTTTCTGCATCTTCTTCTCCTGTGTTTTGATCAGGAGATTTAGAACTCTTTCAGAAGATGTGTCATAGCGCCCCCTACCGTATAACAGTGAAAACACGGAAAGCCGGAAAATTCCGTCAATGGCGGGGAAGTGATTTCTCACAAATGAAAGAAATTTTCGTCAATGGCGAGGGAAGAATTAAATAAATTATGATTCTAAATCCATGCTGAGCAGAACTCTATGCAAGAGTTTTACAATATTAATTATACAATGTTTCCTTTATATTTGTATCATTAAAAAAATCATTTTTACATCTGGAGAAACTTACAACTAAGACAAGGGGAGCAGCAAAATTTGAGAAAGATGAATGCCCTAATAATAAAGCGGTATGAATGGGTTTTTGAGGTTTGTCTGCCAGATGCTCGGAAGTGATGTTGTCTTGTGTGTTTAATCCAGTGCGACTTAATGTTTGCAGGGAGATTGTAGACACTGGTCCAGCTCTTGCTAATCCCAAAATGTCTCAGATGACCAATGGAAGTCTTCAGATCAGTAGCGTGAGCAAAGAGGACAGCAAAACGTACAAATGCTCAGTGAAAGACAGCAACAGGAGCATCATTGCTGAGCTGAATGTCTTGAGTAAGTGTTTAAATCCATTATAAAATCATCATATACATACCATATCAATATACACAGATTTTGTGGCTCAGATACGGTCCAGTTCTGGTTTATTTCTTTGCTCTTGGCTGACATGTGGCGTTGCTATGGCCTGCTTGTGGCCCAGATCTGGCAAACAGGAGTGAGCCACCCAAGGGCCGTCATTCCACGCTGTGTGTGGACCAGATCATCTTTCCACATGTGCCAGATGTGGGCCGGATCTGGGCCGTCACAATGTTGCTCTACTGTTGTAGATGATGCCTTTTTCTAAATTACTGGCAATAGTTTGTGCAGTAATTTAGAGTCGGTTCATGTTAAAGTAATAGGTTACGGCAACAAAAGCAAATAACAATAGATTTGAAATGCATGGAGATGGTTCCACGGGGAGGGAAGTAGTCCTTAAGAAACCTGCTGCAATCTCACAAACATACATTTCTCACCACATGATCCATCCCTGACCCACATTTCATCTCTTATCTGGTATTGTGTCACATTATGGAAGTAAAATGAGTCATGAATGTCTTTTCATGTCTCCAGACAGAACTAAGATTGTAGACCCTCCCCAGGATATCCGTGTTGTACGTGGAAATGATGCTGTTTTGCAGTGCAAATATACAGTGGACCACAAGTTTAAAGATCCCACAGTTCAGTGGAAGAAGGACGGACACAAGATCACCACATCTTATGATAAGTAAACACAAAATTTGAGCTTTTTTCTATCTAAAATCTGCCAACCTTGTCAATTGTTAACGAGTTCGTTTGCCCATAAAATCTTTAAGATATTAGGTTAAACTTATTTGGCTTGCTGTCCGCTGGAGAGGGGCTCGATGAAGCAGCTTCAACTCGAGCTCTGATATACCCCCCAGTGGCTAAATGTAGGACCTGTTAATTAAAGGGCAAGGTACCTAAGATGAAGGTGGAGTTTGGGGAGGTGGAGGGATACTGGAACAGCTGATACTAGGGAGAGGTAAGCGGCTGCTTATATACTCTGTTTGTTGATTGAAAGATTGGATGGGCTCGCTCCTCCCTAACTTACGTTTAGGAACTTCATATAGTGCACATTTTCTGTTGATTCTGTTCTTTTTTTCTTTTCTTTTTTGAGTAAAATATTGTGTAAAAGACATTTAAATGTAGTCATTATTATTTGCATTAATTTAATGGCACAATATGTAAGATCTTTGAATAAAAATAACATTTATAGACAAAAAACTAATCATTGTTATATAGCTAATACTGTTAATCTTATTATTTGAATTGCTTATTTCCTTTATTTACCGCAAGGTCCATGTTTTTACCATGCCTTAGAGAAAAGCACTATTTTGTCAAGTGGCTATACATAACATATTCAGATCCAGCTTTATTTTTAGTAACAGTAATGCAGCATTTTCTCCAACATAAAATGTTTTAAAATGAATTGCATGCCATTCAGCAACACAAGCCATCCAATCTCAGCGTCATCAAGCTACACCTTTAGGACTTAAAGAATATACACAGCATATACACAGTATCTAATGTCTTGCCATTTTATCGCACATTGGCCACTAAGTGATCAAAACAATCCCATGAATATCTAAACGTTGCACATAGCAATAACTTCAATGCAGTGTTGGTAAAACCAGATTGTCATATGTGAAGGTCACAACGTAATTTCCGGAGGAGTTAACCCATCAAATCTTTCAATGAACTGCGGGAGCACATAAGCAGCCGTTCACTTGCTCTGGCATCAGCTGTTCTGGCGTCCCTCCTCAACGCCACCAACATAATGTAGGCATCTTGCTACCATACTCATCACCCAGGCATTAGTAGTCCCACTGGGTTTATCTCAGCTTGAGTTGAAGCTGCTTCCTCGAGCCCCTCCACTGCGGACAGCAAGACAAATACGCGTAACCTATTTAGCTTAAAGATTATATGGGCAAAGGAACTCGTGAAGTTGTATGCATTGCATTGTGTGGATGAATTCCATATTTCGGTGGCTTTGCTGGTGTTAAATGTTTGCGTTTTCCACATGGCTGCAGGTACACTGTAGACCGAGATGGCCGTCTGAAGGTGACGGATGTTCAGATGAAGGACACAGGAATCTACAGCTGTGAGATCAGCACTAAACTGGACTCAGACAGCGCCACGGGCTCCATCACCGTACAGGGTGAGTCTGGCTCTTCCAGTTAGACATGCAGTTTTACATTTCATCGCTTCTGAAGCGCATTCATGTGTTTGACGCTCCCTCAGATAAACCTGCTTCTCCTCACTCGCTGGAGTTGTCTGAAAAGATGGACCGTAGTGTCACCCTCTCCTGGATGCCAGGCGCTGAAAACAACAGTCCCGTATCTGGTAATTATTATCAAATCATTGACTATTTCATAATAGCCTAATAAAATCATCACCATCACCAGAAATAAAGTGTAACTGAAAGTTCTAAGGCTTTTCCTTTTTTTCCCATGTTTGTTGGAAGGTATGGCTTTAATATGAAATCTGAACCTCTTATACATCCACTGAGAAAAAAACAACATCCAGACTCTAGACAGCAGACATTCATTGTTCGATTTGTGAATTTAGTGAAAGATCTGATTCAAACATGTTTGGTTCATGCTTCAGCTTCATTCTGATCATCTGGCCTTTCGTCTCTGTTGTCCACCAGAGTTTGTTCTAGAGATGAAAGAGGAGCAGGATCCAGCAGGATCGTCCCGGTGGGAGAAGTTTGAGACCGTCCCTCACGACATCCAACACCTGGAGGTCCATCTGCAGCCGTACAGCACATACCACTTCCGGATCAGCGCTGTGAATGCCATCGGACGCAGCGAGCCCAGTCCTCCCTCAGACTCGTACAGCACCCCGGCTGCCCGTAAGACACTCGGAGCTCTGAAACATGCAATGAAACGCATGGAAAATGCAATGGAACTTACAACCCAATCTAATTTACAAAGTGGTGATTTTGAATGAATTTCGTATGAGACATGACCTCACCCCTAAACTAAACCGCCCATGGTTTCGCCAATAGGGTGTAAGCACACGTCCAGATTGTACGCATAAGCCACCAATTCACCAAAACCTAAAACAGTCATGAATTGCCATGAGAACATTTTGGAGCAAAAATTGTGTTACTTCACAGTGCATTAACTAATATTAACACGATTTTAATAAAGTATTAGTAAATGTTGAAATTAACATTAGCAAAGATTAATAAATGCTGTATAAGTGCAGTTCATTATTAGTTCATGCTAACTAATGTAGTTATCTAATGTTAACTAATGAACCTTATTGTAAATTGTTACCATTATTTTTTTAAGGCACTGTTCTTTCTTTTGATAAATTGCATATTCAGATATTCATACAACAAAATATTCTGGGGGCCATTAACATTTTTGTGAAAATGATCAAAATTCTGGCGGTGGCTGGCAACTTTTTAAAAAAAACGCTGGCGGGGAAAGAGTTAAGAAAGCTTTATGGATTAACAATCTCTCTTGTGCACAGAACCTGAAATGAACCCAGAAAATGTGACGACTGTGTCTTCTGATCCAAACTGTATGGTCATCACATGGAAGGTGATTAACAATCTTGTACTGGAGAAACGTCTTCTCCAAAAGAGAGAGCCATATTGCACATGACAGAGCATCATGTTTAATCTTGTTTTCTTTCTTGCATTTGGAAGGAACTGGAGCGACAGCATTTTAATGGACCAGGTTTTAAGTACAAGATCTACTGGCGTCACTCTTCAGACAGAGATCTACACTGGAAAAACAGCAGCGTCTCAAATCCTCCGTTCATCGTGAACGACACTGGGACCTTCATCCCCTTTGAAATTAAAGTTCAGGCAGCCAATGACCTCGGTGCCGCACCAGAACCAGTTGCAAAGATCGGCTACTCGGGAGAAGACCGTGCGTTTCCTAATATCTAGATGAGTTCCTGAAAGCGGCTGCATTAGCTTTGACCCATGCTTTGCCTTATCTTACTTCCATAATGTCCAGGTTGCCTTACGATGATTAGTGCCAGTTTTGTGTTGATCAGAAAGATACAGGTCCTACTTTCTGAGGATTCTCAACATCCTCTCTTACAGTTTTTCCCAATTATTTACATACGTTTGCTGAATCTTTGTTCCACTTTCCCAAAATTATAATCACAAAACCACAAACGCAAAACCATATTAAAAGAGATTTGTCTACCAACAACACACTAATGTGCTCAACTCAAAACACTGCTATGAATATCCCATCGGTAGGCTTACTCCTTTTGCATTGTCCGTGTTACACTGATATTGTTAACAAATATTGTTACATAAGTTATATATATATACACCTACTCAAAAATACATGCAATATAGTAACAAACAAACTCATTTACAGTATTTTCTAAATGCAGTACATTTGTGTTTTGTATGTGACAGTTTCCATACCCTACAGGAGAAAACTAACATTCAGTAAGATGAAGAGTTTTCTCTACAAACACAGAAACTATGTACTTTCTTTATGTTCATTCTTTCAAAAACTCTAAACAAAAAGACAAAAACACATGAAATGTGAGAAAAAAGACATTAGGCTTCATCTTGACTTTGTTCTGGCTGCAGCAGCTCATCTTCATCACAGGCTATGTTTCATCTAACCTAACCCTAACCCTAACCCTGGCTAAACCATAGCCAATCTGCTCCTCTTCCTCTGTCGCCTCTTGCTCGCTTCAAGATTGTCTTCCGGTTTCCTTTGAAACAGGTCAGCTCATTTTGCCCTTTTATAGTGGCTAAGCTCTGATTTTGAAGTGAAATATTCAGTAAATATTGTTTCCAGCAGTGAGCAGTGGCGGGTGTTGCACATTAATGTAAAGAGCATGGCATTGTGATTTGTGTTGCTTCAAACAAGGGCTAAAGAGATTTTCATTTTGAATGTTATGCCTGATGTAGAGAACTGTGTGTAGAGTTTGGCAAACAGTGTGATTTACAATAGGCTTTATGCACAGCTTCACTACTTCCTGAACTTCAGCCAGCCCTTTGTTTCCTGTCTGCCATTATTGGCCAAACTGATTAATCCAGGTGTGCCTGATTATTGTTACTGAGGCCAGGCACACCTGGATTAATCAGTTTGTCCAATAATGACAGACAGGAAACAAAGGGCTGGCTGAAGTTCAGGAAGTAGTGAAGCTGTGCATAAAGCCAATTGAAAACTGAGTGTAAAGCAAGACTGAGCCTCCTATTCCGCAGACTTGGATTAGGGATTTTGAACATGAGTGTCAGGGTTTGGTGATTGTGTTTTTTCAAGTTTTAATTTTAGTGTGTAAACAATTGGGAAAAACAGTAAACTTTACAGTAAAACAGTAAAATGACCTCTGCTTTGATCCAGATTCTGAATACAGTATTTTATAGAAATCTTTAGTAACTCAGCTAAAAAAAAAATCAAAGACCACAATGGAAATAAGTTTATGCAACTTTAGTGTGTTATCCTTGACAAAGAAGTTGTAACAATGTTGTATTGCTACTTTGTATGTCAAGTAAACTCAAAATCATCTCTCTCAATCTCTCCCAGTACCTCTGGAAGCTCCGTCACAGGTGTCAGTGGTCGAGCTGAACAACACTGCGGTCATGGTGAGATGGCGTCCAGTCAGCACAGAATCTGTGCGCGGACACTTGCTAGGCTACAAGGTACACCATCTTTAAACCTAATTCAGTTTCTGCACTTGGCTGCTGATTCTCATAGCTGGGTTTGGTTACACTTTACTTTAGGTGGCCTTAACTACTATGTATTAATATAAGAAAAATAAAACACCTACAATTTTCTGTGTAACTACATGTTGTTCTGGAAGATTCTCATATGTACTGCTGATGAGCTTGAGGTTAGGTTAGGTTTAGGAGTTAGGGTGGGTTATAAGGGTTAAGAGTTAGTCTTTAGGTTGATGGTTGAGTTACGGTTATAGGGGTTAAGAGTTAGGCTTTAGGGTGATGGTTGAGTTACGGTTATAGGGGTTAAGAGTTAGGCTCTAGGGTGATGGTTGAGTTACGGTTATAGGGGTTAAGAGTTAGGCTTGAGGGTGATGGTTGAGTTACGGTTTTAGGGGTTAAGAGTTAGGCTTTAGGGTGATGGTTGAGTTACGGTTATAGGGGTTAAGAGTTAGGCTTTAGGGTGATGGTTGAGTTACGGTTATAGGGGTTAAGAGTTAGGCTTTAGGGTGATGGTTGAGTTACGGTTAAAGGGGTTAAGAGTTAGGCTTTAGGGTGATGGTTGAGTTACGGTTATAGGGGTTAAGAGTTAGGCTTTAGGGTGATGGTTGAGTTACGGTTATAGGGGTTAAGAGTTAGGCTTTAGGGTGATGGTTGAGTTACGGTTTTAGGGGTTAAGAGTTAGGCTTTAGGGTGATGGTTGAGTTACGGTTATAGGGGTTAAGAGTTAGGCTTTAGGGTGATGGTTGGGTTACGGTTATAGGGGTTAAGAGTTAGGCTTCAGGGTGATGGTTGAGTTACGGTTATAGGGGTTAAGAGTTAGGCTTTAGGGTGATGGTTGGGTTACGGTTATAGGGGTTAAGAGTTAGGCTTTAGGGTGATGGTTGGGTTACGGTTATAGGGGTTAAGAGTTAGGCTTTAGGGTGATGGTTGAGTTACGGTTATAAGGGTTAAGAGTTAGGCTTTAGGGTGATGGTTGGGTTACGGTTATAGGGGTTAAGAGTTAGGCTTTAGGGTGATGGTTGGGTTACGGTTATAGGGGTTAAGAGTTAGGCTTTAGGGTGATGGTTGAGTTACGGTTATAGGGGTTAAGAGTTAGGCTTTAGGGTGATGGTTGGGTTACGGTTATAGGGGTTAAGAGTTAGGCTTTAGGGTGATGGTTGGGTTACGGTTATAGGGGTTAAGAGTTAGGCTTTAGGGTGATGGTTGGGTTACGGTTATAGGGGTTAAGAGTTAGGCTTTAGGGTGATGGTTGGGTTACGGTTATAGGGGTTAAGAGTTAGGCTTTAGGGTGATGGTTGGGTTACGGTTATAGGGTTTAAGAGTTAGGCTTTAGGGTGATGGTTGAGTTACGGTTATAGGGGTTAAGAGTTAGGCTTTAGGGTGATGGTTGGGTTACGGTTATAGGGGTTAAGAGTTAGGCTTTAGGGTGATGGTTGGGTTACGGTTATAGGGGTTAAGAGTTAGGCTTTAGGGTGATGGTTGGGTTACGGTTATAGGGGTTAAGAGTTAGGCTTTAGGGTGATGGTTGAGTCACGGTTATAGGGGTTAAGAGTTAGGCTTTAGGGTGATGGTTGGGTTACGGTTATAGGGGTTAAGAGTTAGGCTTTAGGGTGATGGTTGGGTTACGGTTATAGGGGTTAAGAGTTAGGCTTTAGGGTGATGGTTGGTTTACGGTTATAGGGGTTAAGAGTTAGGCTTTAGGGTGATGGTTGGTTTACGGTTAAAGGGGTTAAGAGTTAGGCTTTAGGGTGATGGTTGGTTTACGGTTATAGGGGTTAAGAGTTAGGCTTTAGGGTGATGGTTGGGTTACGGTTATAGGGGTTAAGAGTTAGGCTTTAGGGTGATGGTTGAGTTACGGTTAAAGGGGTTAAGAGTTAGGCTTTAGGGTGATGGTTGGTTTACGGTTAAAGGGGTTAAGAGTTAGGCTTTAGGGTGATGGTTGAGTTACGGTTATAGGGGTTAAGAGTTAGGCTTTAGGGTGATGGTTGGTTTACGGTTATAGGGGTTAAGAGTTAGGCTTTAGGGTGATGGTTGGGTTACGGTTATAGGGGTTAAGAGTTAGGCTTTAGGGTGATGGTTGGGTTACGGTTATAGGGGTTAAGAGTTAGGCTTTAGGGTGATGGTTGAGTCACGGTTATAGGGGTTAAGAGTTAGGCTTTAGGGTGATGGTTGGGTTACGGTTATAGGGGTTAAGAGTTAGGCTTTAGGGTGATGGTTGGGTTACGGTTATAGGGGTTAAGAGTTAGGCTTTAGGGTGATGGTTGGTTTACGGTTATAGGGGTTAAGAGTTAGGCTTTAGGGTGATGGTTGGTTTACGGTTAAAGGGGTTAAGAGTTAGGCTTTAGGGTGATGGTTGGTTTACGGTTATAGGGGTTAAGAGTTAGGCTTTAGGGTGATGGTTGGTTTACGGTTAAAGGGGTTAAGAGTTAGGCTTTAGGGTGATGGTTGAGTTACGGTTATAGGGGTTAAGAGTTAGGCTTTAGGGTGATGGTTGGTTTACGGTTAAAGGGGTTAAGAGTTAGGCTTTAGGGTGATGGTTAAGTTACGGTTATAGGGGTTAAGAGTTAGGCTTTAGGGTGATGGTTGGGTTACGGTTATAGGGGTTAAGAGTTAGGCTTGAGGGTGATGGTTGAGTTACGGTTATAGGGGTTAAGAGTTAGGCTTTAGGGTGATGGTTGAGTTACGGTTATAGGGGTTAAGAGTTAGGCTTTAGGGTGATGGTTGGGTTACGGTTATAGGGGTTAAGAGTTAGGCTTTAGGGTGATGGTTGGGTTACGGTTATAGGGGTTAAGAGTTAGGCTTTAGGGTGATGGTTGAGTTACGGTTATAGGGGTTAAGAGTTAGGCTTTAGGGTGATGGTTGAGTTACGGTTATAGGGGTTAAGAGTTAGGCTTTAGGGTGATGGTTGAGTTACGGTTATAGGGGTTAAGAGTTAGGCTTTAGGGTGATGGTTGAGTTACGGTTATAGGGGTTAAGAGTTAGGCTTTAGGGTGATGGTTGGGTTACGGTTATAGGGGTTAAGAGTTAGGCTTCAGGGTGATGGTTGAGTTACGGTTATAGGGGTTAAGAGTTAGGCTTTAGGGTGATGGTTGGGTTACGGTTATAGGGGTTAAGAGTTAGGCTTTAGGGTGATGGTTGGGTTACGGTTATAGGGGTTAAGAGTTAGGCTTTAGGGTGATGGTTGGGTTACGGTTATAGGGGTTAAGAGTTAGGCTTTAGGGTGATGGTTGAGTTACGGTTATAGGGGTTAAGAGTTAGGCTTTAGGGTGATGGTTGGGTTATGGTTATAGGGGTTAAGAGTTAGGCTTTAGGGTGATGGTTGGGTTACGGTTATAGGGGTTAAGAGTTAGTCTTTAGGTTGATGGTTGAGTTACGGTTATAGGGGTTAAGAGTTAGGCTTTAGGGTGATGGTTGGGTTACGGTTATAGGGGTTAAGAGTTAGGCTTCAGGGTGATGGTTGAGTTACGGTTATAGGGGTTAAGAGTTAGGCTTTAGGGTGATGGTTGAGTTACGGTTAAAGGGGTTAAGAGTTAGGCTTTAGGGTGATGGTTGAGTTACGGTTAAAGGGGTTAAGAGTTAGGCTTGAGGGTGATGGTTGAGTTACAGTTATAGGGGTTAAGAGTTAGGCTTTAGGGTGATGGTTGAGTTACGGTTATAGGGGTTAAGAGTTAGGCTTTAGGGTGATGGTTGGGTTACGGTTATAGGGGTTAAGAGTTAGTCTTTAGGTTGATGGTTGAGTTACGGTTAAAGGGGTTAAGAGTTAGGCTTTAGGGTGATGGTTGGGTTACGGTTAAAGGGGTTAAGAGTTAGGCTTTAGGGTGATGGTTGAGTTACGGTTATAGGGGTTAAGAGTTAGGCTTTAGGGTGATGGTTGAGTTACGGTTATAGGGGTTAAGAGTTAGGCTTTAGGGTGATGGTTGGGTTACGGTTATAGGGGTTAAGAGTTAGGCTTTAGGGTGATGGTTGGGTTACGGTAATAGGGGTTAAGAGTTAGGCTTTAGGGTGATGGTTGAGTTACGGTTAAGGGTTGACAGAGTAGTTACACTTGTTCATTAAATGCTTTAAAAGTGCTATAAAAGTAATATTAGAATGCTCCAACATGTATGTACATAATGAGTAAATTGCATCAAATCATAGTTAATATAAAGTGTGATCCTCCGTTTCTCTTGAGATCCATCTGAGAAGGAAGGGTCCCAGAACTCACAGCCGACGAGGCCTGGCAATCCGATCTCTCGCCGCGGACAAGTACAGAATGATTGAGGTTTCTGGACACAAGGTGGAGGAGGTCGTGAGCGACTTGCAGTTTTACTCGAACTATACTCTGACAGTGGCACCTTTCAACAGCAGAGGAGAAGGACCGCATTCAAAGGCGTATCACTTCAGCACTCCAGAGGGCGGTAAGGTCACTTTTCTCAGTGCATGTGGAACGATCCTCTATGAATGGGGATTTAGATTAACTGAACGTGTGCTCCTCGGCATCTAGCTCCCGGACCGATTTCATCCTTGACCTTTGAGAGCCCGTCTGAGACAGAGGTCACGCTGCGCTGGGAAGCTCCACACAAACCCAACGGGCTGATCACAGGATACCTGCTGCAGCACCTCGAGAGTGGGTCAAGCGTCCCGTCTATACACACTCTGTGCTAGTGCATTATGAGTCCAACAATACTGTATATCCTGAATATATACGCTTTACAGTCAACTATAGCCATTACAAGTACAACTTCAATGTCAGCAACAAAGCAGCTCTACACTGAATAATTCAGTGCTACAGTCGTTTCAATTACAGCTTTATCCAGATTATACTGACTGCTAGTGGAGAAAAACCTCGTGAGAAACCAGGGCTTACAGCACGAACACAGTGTTAGGCTGATGATTCCCAGCTACAACTGAGTTAGTATTTTACAAACGGACGTTATTTAGCTTAAACTGATAAGTACTACAGACTGAAGTAGAGGAAATCAGAGGAATTAGCTGTAGTTTGACTAGAAGACCAACTGGTCTCTAAATATGTCTCACTATTTGGCAGTACTGTGTTAAAGTCACCCTTTTTATTCAGTATTTTTAAAGAAAGAGTTATTGGTTAATGTAAATGTAAATGTTAAGCCTAATGTAGGGTGTTATTTGTTGTGACTGGCTTCTGTTGTGTGCTGTGTTTAGTTGTGCCTGGAAGCTCGAGCCCACGGCTGGTGGAGACCATCGACCTGCCCGCTGTTACTGAGCACACAGTGAAGAGCCTGGATCCTCAGAGCCACTACCTCTTCTACCTTCGAGCACGCAACACCGCTGGCGACGGGGAGCTGGTCAAAAGGAAGGGCGCCACCTTGCTGGATGGAGGTGAAACTGCACTGCTAACATTTCAGCATTCTCATTGTTTGGAAGTGAATCAATCAAAACTAACTTTAGCTGAACAATAACTTTATTCTAGAGCTGCTGTAAAGCCTAAATAATCTCTGTTACTGTAATCTCCTATTATCACTGTAAAGCTGCTTTGAAACAATATATTGTTAAAAGCACTATATAAATGAAGATGACTTGACTTCACTAAGACTTCACTTGACTTCATCAGGACACAATATAATATTTGTCAAGTCTTATCTACACGTTCCCTCCGCAGAACCTCCATCTGTGATCAACATGACTGCAGGAGAAACATCGGTCAACCTCAGTTGGGTGCCAGGAGACAGACATCGTAACTTTGCCTTTAGATTCCGATACATCCAAAAAAGTGGTGAGAGTTTGATCAATGTTTAGACAAATCTTTTGATCTACTTATGCTGAAAACATGTGTTTTCCCTCTATCATACTATCATCATATCATAAACGAGGGTTTAAGTTGTTGATCACCATCATCTAACATTAGCGATGATAGAGTAATCATAAATTGTTTTTATTTTTACCTAGTTTATTTTTGCATATTCAAACAAACACTGAAACCTACTAACATAATGATAGCATCTAAAATGTATATACATTTATATAAAAAAAAAATATATATAAATCTTTACGGTAACACTTAAATACTGTACTGTCATTAATGAATGAATTAACACAGGAACAAACAAGTAACGCAATATTAGTAGTTGTAACTAACTGTCACGGGTAGTTCTGGTTTTTAGTTCATGTGTCCTGTCTTGTCATGTGATTCCCTTGCCCTCATGTGATCCTGCCATGTGCTTCCCTAGTCTCTTATCTCATGTTGTCATTGGTTAATTGTCTATCATGTTTACAGATGTGTCTTGTTCAGTCATTAGTCTTCGTGTGCATTTAAGTAGGGAGGAATTGTGTATCACAATATCACAGCATCTTTCTCAAGTATTGTTTCGTGTAACCACTGTTGGTAAGCTCCATGTTCATGTTTTTGTTTTGAGTTTCTTGCCACGCCATGCTTTTGTTTTATGTTTGACTTAGTATCTTGTCAAAAAAAAAAGAAAAGAAAGAATAGCACATTTAATCCAGATGGGACTAAAAGGGTGAAGCTTTTTGCACTATTTTAATGGCTGAATTGAATTAGTCTCAAAGCTGATACGCTATCAATGATAGAGGTTTTGTACAGATGATTCATCAAACATGAGAACACCTGAAAGCCAAATGAAGCTGACCTCAGCAGTGATGTTGCGTGTGTGTGTGTGTGTGTGTGGTAGACGGTGGTTCATGGGAAGAGTCGGAGCAGGTGAACTCCACACAGGCCTTCTATCAGCTGCAGGGCCTGAATCCGGGTGTTTGGTACCTCCTGCAGATCTGGCCCGGAAACACTTCCTTGGCTTTCAAAACGAACGGACCAGGTACAGGCCAGTCACAAGCATCCCTGGATGGTGTCATGGGTTCCATGCTCTGATTCGCTGTGTGTCGTCTCTTCCTCAGAGCTGCAGGAGTTGCCCAGTAGCTTTGCAACTCAGGGCTGGTTCATCGGACTCATCAGCGCCATGATTCTGCTGCTGCTGGTGCTGCTCATTCTGTGCTACATCAAGAAGAGCAAAGGAGGGAAGTACTCAGGTAACACACACACACACACTTTGAACTTGAATTAGCAACCGTTATTCCACTCTAATTGAGGGAGTGGTCAATTTGAGAACCTGCTTTTTAACTTTTTGTGGAAAAAGTAAACTACAAAAAATAAATAATGGTCCTTATAACAATTTACAAAGTAATGGAATTGTTTATTTGAACATTCATGTGCAATGCAATAAAACCACTTAATCATTAAATAAATATGAAATGTTTTTTTCCCCCAGTGCAAACAGTGAGACATACTGAAAAGCCTAATCATGAAATTGCCTTTCTCTTTATGAACGCTGAGATAATTTTGACAGCCGAGTTTCAGAGTTGGGCGTACCATAAACTTTAAACATGGTGGAGGGGAGAACGATTGTTGCAGTGACTGCTATTCTTTATTAGTCTCTCCACAACAGCTACATCGTCTTCTCTTATCTTCAAAGTAGTGCATATTTAAAGCATGTTCACACCAAGAACGATAACTTTAAAGATAATAATAACGATATAATCGCCCAGACCAATGGACAATATCGTTGTTATTATAAGCGTGCAGCCACTTTCAACGCATAAGTTGTGATTTATAAAAAAAACTTGACGGGAAAATGTGCGCACCTGCATGCAAACTCTGACCCATGTATACACACTTTTTGGAGAAGGAGCAGTTTGGCGACACCTATGGTGAGCTGAGGGACTGACAGCAGATGAAGGACACCACTTTAAATCTTCATTATGAGTCCCAATCATAAATACAGTGCATGTTCACAATAACAGTTTAAATAAATAAAAGGATGATTTAAACTATGTTTTACATCTGATATACACATTTAGATTAAAAATGCCATTCTCATTAAGGAAGCACTTAAATTACATAAAATCATTACCGAGAAGTTTTTTAGATTTTGATAAATAGAAATATTTATAGTGGATTCAATGCTTTTGAACACTTTTCCTGTGGCATGCTGTGTTTTAATGTTTTAACTAGTGAGAATTGCTGAGCGCATGATAATAGCAGAACTCATGGTCTGAGATAATATTTCCACGCAAATAATGATCAAAAATGCAATAAGGCCTATTTCCATCAAAACTATAAAGCAATTAAAAATACTCTTTGGCCAGTGAAAAGATTGAGAAGACTTCCTCTGAAATGTATTTTTATACTAGTTTACTTATTTATTCAAAAACAAGGCAAGGATAGGCTATTAAATGATTTTTAGCAACGTAATGTGACGGCACATCCGTATCACATATTTTCCTAATGTCTTGTACCGTTAAACATGGTATCACATGGATTAATATGCATATGCAAAAGTATGCAGATGAGGATATGCATAGTAAAACTAGGCGTTGTAAGCTCATATATGGTTATTTCGGGTAGGAGACGCATGTGCGCACAATCTTCCGCTGACTGGGATTTATAAAGGGAATTTTGTGCAGGTTCTGCTACTTTATAAGTCTATCACAAGTCTAATATTTTTGTGTACGCCATTTTTGACTTTCGGGCGCACGTACACTTTTAGTAAGGATCCTAAGCACAATTTTATACATTATGGATTACCCTTTAATAAACTTCTGCATTTGGATCCTCAACCTTGTGTCTCGGAGCAGTTCATGACAATAATACACTTCGAATGGTTATTCATATATGTATAGGCCAGTTCACACCAAGGATGACAACTATAATGATACTGACACAGTGAAATGATATCGTTAGATCACTTTCAGAAAGATTAATTCCAGCTGATGAACGAAAAAAACACTGAGAGCCAATCTGGGGAGCCTGGGCAGAGCGGGATGAAGCAGGCTGGGATGAAGATCACCACGGTGGAGCAGAACACCACCACAGCAGAGCAGACGGGACTGAAGATCACCACGGTGGAGCAGAACACCACCACAGCAGAGCAGACGGGACTGTAGTTCCCCACGGTGGAGCAGAACACCACCACAGCAGAGCAGACGGGACTGAAGATCACCACGGTGGAGCAGAACACCACCACAGCAGAGCAGACGGGACTGAAGATCACCACGGTGGAGCAGAACACCACCACAGTAGAGCAGACGGGACTGAAGATCACCACGGTGGAGCAGAACACCACCACAGTAGAGCAGACGGGACTGAAGATCACCACGGTGGAGCAGAACACCACCACAGCAGAGCAGACGGGACTGTAGTTCCCCACGGTGGAGCAGAACACCACCACAGCAGAGCAGACGGGACTGAAGATCACCACGGTGGAGCAGAACACCACCACAGCAGAGCAGACGGGACTGAAGATCACCACGGTGGAGCAGAACACCACCACAGCAGAGCAGACGGGACTGAAGATCACCACAGTGGAGCAGAACACCACCACAGCAGAGCAGACGGGACTGAAGATCACCACGGTGGAGCAGAACACCACCACAGCAGAGCAGACGGGACTGAAGATCACCACAGTGGAGCAGAACACCACCACAGCAGAGCAGACGGGACTGAAGATCACCACGGTGGAGCAGAACACCACCACAGCAGAGCAGACGGGACGGTAGTTCCCCACGGTGGAGCAGAACACCACCACAGCAGAGCAGACGGGACGGTAGTTCCCCACGGTGGAGCAGAACACCACCACAGCAGAGCAGACGGGACTGAAGATCACCACGGTGGAGCAGAACACCATCACAGCAGAGCAGACGAGACTGTAGTTCCCCACGGTGGAGCAGAACACCACCACAGTAGAGCAGACGGGACTGAAGATCACCACGGTGGAGCAGAACACCACCACAGTAGAGCAGACGGGACTGAAGATCACCACGGTGGAGCAGAACACCACCACAGTAGAGCAGACGGGACTGAAGATCACCACAGTAGAGCAGACGGGACTGAAGATCACCACGGTGGAGCAGAACACCACCACAGTAGAGCAGACGGGACTGAAGATCACCACGGTGGAGCAGAACACCACCACAGTAGAGCAGACGGGACTGAAGATCACCACGGTGGAGCAGAACACCACCACAGCAGAGCAGATGGGGATGTAGTTCCCCAAGGTGGAGCAGAATACCACCACAGCAGAGCAGACGGGACTGTAGTTCCCCACGGTGGAGCAGAACACCACCACAGCAGAGCAGACGGGACTGTAGTTCCCCACGGTGGAGCAGAACACCACCACAGTAGAGCAGACGGGACTGAAGATCACCACGGTGGAGCAGAACACCACCACAGCAGAGCAGACGGGACTGAAGATCACCACGGTGGAGCAGAACACCACCACAGTAGAGCAGACGGGACTGAAGATCACCACGGTGGAGCAGAACACCACCACAGTAGAGCAGACGGGACTGAAGATCACCACAGTAGAGCAGACGGGACTGAAGATCACCACGGTGGAGCAGAACACCACCACAGTAGAGCAGACGGGACTGAAGATCACCACGGTGGAGCAGAACACCACCACAGTAGAGCAGACGGGACTGAAGATCACCACGGTGGAGCAGAACACCACCACAGCAGAGCAGATGGGGATGTAGTTCCCCAAGGTGGAGCAGAATACCACCACAGCAGAGCAGACGGGACTGTAGTTCCCCACGGTGGAGCAGAACACCACCACAGCAGAGCAGACGGGACTGTAGTTCCCCACGGTGGAGCAGAACACCACCACAGTAGAGCAGACGGGACTGAAGATCACCACGGTGGAGCAGAACACCACCACAGCAGAGCAGATGGGGATGTAGTTCCCCAAGGTGGAGCAGAATACCACCACAGCAGAGCAGACGGGACTGAAGATCACCACGGTGGAGCAGAACACCACCACAGCAGAGCAGATGGGGATGTAGTTCCCCACGGTGGAGCAGAACACCACCACAGCAGAGCAGACGGGACTGAAGATCACCACGGTGGAGCAGAACACCACTACAGCAGAGCAGACGGGACGGTAGTTCCCCACGGTGGAGCAGAACACCACCACAGCAGAGCAGACGAGACTGTAGTTCCCCACGGTGGAGCAGAACACCACCACAGTAGAGCAGACGGGACTGAAGATCACCACGGTGGAGCAGAACACCACCACAGCAGAGCAGACGGGACTGAAGATCACCACAGTGGAGCAGAACACCACCACAGTAGAGCAGACGGGACTGAAGATCACCACGGTGGAGCAGAACACCACCACAGTAGAGCAGACGGGACTGAAGATCACCACGGTGGAGCAGAACACCACCACAGTAGAGCAGACGGGACTGAAGATCACCACGGTGGAGCAGAACACCACCACAGTAGAGCAGACGGGACTGAAGATCACCACGGTGGAGCAGAACACCACCACAGTAGAGCAGACGGGACTGAAGATCACCACGGTGGAGCAGAACACCACCACAGCAGAGCAGACGGGACTGTAGTTCCCCACGGTGGAGCAGAACACCACCACAGTAGAGCAGACGGGACTGAAGATCACCACGGTGGAGCAGAACAGAACACCACCACAGCAGAGCAGACGGGACTGAAGATCACCACGGTGGAGCAGAACACCACCACAGCAGAGCAGACGGGACGGTAGTTCCCCACGGTGGAGCAGAACACCACCACAGCAGAGCAGACGAGACTGTAGAACACCACCACAGTAGAGCAGACGGGACTGAAGATCACCACGGTGGAGCAGAACACCACCACAGTAGAGCAGACGGGACTGAAGATCACCACGGTGCAGTCCAGAGCAGTAGTTCCACAGTCATTTTAGGGCAGACAGGAAGTTCATGAACGACCTCTGTGGTCATGTCGGGGCATGCATGCAGTTCAAGAAAGACCCCTGTGGTCATGTCGGGGCAGACAGAGGGTTCGCTGGAAACCCCAACGGTTGCATCAGGACAGAAAGAAAACTTAGGGACGACCTCCGTGGCCACATCAGAGCAGACAGAGAGTTTGTGAGCAGACGCTGTCACCTCTGGTAAAACTATCTCTGGTGCCACCGCCTCAGTAGAAGCTGAAACGTATGTGACCCAGACACACAAAATGACCATCGCCGTAACGGGGAGTGTAATCGACAGTGGGAGAACCTCTGAGATCCCCAGACTCTATACCACCACAGAGATGACGGCTGGAGACTCTGGCGTGGCGCCCATGACGGCTGGAGACTCTGTTGCGGTGACCATGTTCTGAAGAGGATCTGCTGTTGGGACCACCGGTCTGGAAGGTGGTCTACTAATGACCATCAGAACTGGACATGCTGGAATCCGTGTTGGTCCAAGCTCCGTTGTTGATGCATACTGCTGATTTTACAGGTTTGTTTAATCCATGACTATAGAAGTCTTTCAAAACGGCATTCTACCAGTTTAAACAGTTGGCTAGAGCACAGAATTGAGCGGTGTATTCCTTAATGGTACAAATATCTTTTCGAAGGAAAAAAAATGTCTCTGCTGGATCCGTGTGTGGCGAAGTCTTGAAGTCTCTGTCATGAACTGCTCTGAAACACAAAGTTGAGGATCCAAACACTGAAGTTTATCAAAGGGTAATCCAAACAGTCGAAACAATGACAGAGTCCAAGGCATAGGAAACCGGAGAAATCCAGGACAACAGGCAGAAGATCAAAACCGGGATACAAAAGCAATACAGACACATACAAGACTTTGCATCGAATGACTGAATTAACCAGACTTGTATAGGTAGAGTTGACAAGGTAAATGATACACAGCTGATAGCAATCAGGGCTGATGAGTCTAGGCAGTGATTTCTGGGAAATGTAGTCCATAATAGAATGACAATGAACAAGAGGGGAGTGCCCTCTGGTGGACATCCAGTAACAATTGTATGTTTTATACACAGGGAAAACGGCATTTATTTGACTATGTTTACTTGACTTATTTATCTAGATAGCGGTGAATGTATACAATAGTGCTGCTATGTTTCTAGGGTTGTCAACGAAAGAGACACTCTGAATTTATGGTGCGTTCTATTTTTTGGATTTCAGTGAAAGATAAAGAGGAGGGTCAGGTGGATGCTGGGGCCCGAACAATGAAAGATGACGCGTTTGGAGAGTACAGGTAAGCGCAGTTAGCCAATTATGTCACATTACAGTGTCAATAATTCTCTCTGTTCATAAGTCTCTCTGCTTTCATGCTTGCGCACAGATCTCTGGAGAGGTAAGAACATTCACTGACTCCGTCATCCATGTACACTGACTGTTTCCTGCTGGACTGTAACCGAAACCTCTGGTCTGTCTCTCCATCAGTGATAATGAGAAGTGCTCCATCAGTCAGCCATCTGTCTGCGAGAGCAAACGCAGCAGTAACGACAGTCTAGCCGACTACGGGGACAGTGTTGACATCCAGTTCAACGAGGACGGCTCCTTCATCGGCCAGTACAGCGGACGCAGGGATCCACACACTCACGCCGGTCACGACAGCTCGGGCGCCACGTCTCCCGTCAATCCCAACATGCCTCCACCCAGCATCAGCTTCCCCACTTCTGTGACAGGAATTCTGGGGCCAAATTAACACATGCATGTCCCTGACCATTTGAATGAGAGGCACTGATGGTATGAGACAGGATATTACTATATGACGCGAGAAACATCATCCATAAACACCACCGGCTTCACACTCACATAACGACACACATGCATCCGACAGACGCCAATAAAGTGCAGGACAATTGCTTATAACATTCCATCCAAGCACTGAAAACTGTTTACAACGCTCACCTTGCTTCTTCCCAGGTTACAGCAAGTGATGTTTGAACTGGAAGGTGTTCCACTAAGTTCTCTTGCTGAACTCCGGTAGAACAAGGTGTGATAGACTACAGACGCAGCCAGGAGAATACGGCCATACGAGAGTTCAGGACAGATTTTGGCCTTGTTCACATGGCGCACAAATGCAACTTGTTTTAAAAAATGATATCTGTAGGAGTGACTGCCAGCACTGTCTTTTTCTGAATCTGAATCTGTTTATAAAGCATAGTCAATATTTGCTGTATCTACAGTGCATTGGTTGCTGTAGGAAATAACATAGTAGATGTCAGCAGTATGGCTTCTACTGTACAACAAAAAAGATAATGTTGACGAGACACTCTGATACAGCTCACTTTTTAGTGAAAGAGTACATTTGAACACACAAACAAATGCAATGAAATTGAATCTGACAGTTCAGGCTAAGATTTGAATTGGCTTTTTAAAAACAACTGTTCAGTTTCTCACTGTTCGAGCTAAAGACTTGAGCCGAGCAGATTTGTGCTGCGTCTCTGAACAATGCCTTATGTAGAAAACATCAGCTAGAATCACTGCGATGTTCCTGTGCGATCACAGGTAACACAGTCTGAAAAGAGAAAATCCTTTCACATTTCATCATTATTTGGAGGCATTCTTTCCCCATTTGGGTTTAAAAAATTCAAATTGTTTTTAGTATATTTTGGTTGTGTTCATATCATGCATGTTCTTATTTTTTTATGTATATTTTATGTATAAACGTCATATATTTTATTTCATAGAGGTTAATATATTTTGATTTATAAATATTATCATATTATTTTTTAATTTATATATTTTTTTCTTTACATATTATGTGTAATGTTTGTATCTTTCATTTTTTATTCATGTTTTATAATACAATATGTATGAACAATTATTATCCTACCATGTGTGTCTCTCTGTGTCTTAATAATCAAAGTTCAGGGCTTTTAACATGTATCATTTGTATTGTTGCCCAAGTGTGTTACCCAAGTAAGCTTTTTAAATAATGGTGTTTTTGATGCAATTTATTACGTTAAATCCCTTTGAAGTACATACAGCCGCTGCACTAAAGCCAAATTTTGTGATTTTGACACTAACATATATTTTGTAACTTTTTTTTCCAACTAGAATTGATATCCTGCAGCACATAACAGCATGAGATGTAGTGCTAGGCTAGTGGATGTAGTGTGAGGCTGTGCCTGCTGTTCTCCTGTAACGCTGAGGCTAAACCCCGTCGTGTTGCCTTACAGAGTTTGATAACTCCCGTGCTTGAGTGTCTGTCACCAGTCCATCAGCTTGCAAATAACAACACTCAAGCAGTGCAAATGATGTACAGTAAATGATTACTAACAATAACAGTCATACAATATAATCTATCACACATTTGTCATCAGTTGTTCTTTCTAGTGTGGGCATTCTTTGAAATAAATGTAGTCGGGCTGTTCCTGTCTGTATCTAGTGTATGAAAGGGCAGTGATTTCAGCTTATGATAAATAGACACAAACTGATGTAGAAAAAAACATATTGATGGGTCTTATTCTGAATGCAAGTAATCTTTTACAATTATTATTTGGTATGTTTTCACTTTTACTATCTTTATTATTGTCATATACCATATCCATTGTCTCATGATCTATTATAGATTTAGCGTTTAGAGCACTGGTTTCATAGTGTTTTATTGATATCATTCTGGAGTGTTTGCTGGCTCTATCCAAAGAGCAGAAACACCTTCAGACAGTGATTATGGCTTTGAGTTTACTACTTAATAACATTATTTGTTTTATATAACATATGCCACTCATAAACCATCCTGAATTGTACTGAGCAAAGTCATGCTGCGACCGCCTGGTTAAAATCAGAATATTAGGAATATTTACAACAAATGTATGTAGCCTGTGTACGCATTAAAATCTATTTTCCTACGAAAAGAACTTGAGTAAAACGGGTGGAAGTGCAGTGCATGGCTTTATTAGAACAGCTGCAAAAGAGCTCAAGTGAACCCACACGTCACCATCCTTCCCAGCTTTATGGGATATCTTGATAATGTATGTAACCTTCTCTTACCTCTGCTTCTATTTTTAAATCTAAGCACTAAAATGACAATAAAAAGGTAGTCAGTGTGGTATTTCAAACAATAACTGCCTCTATGAGTAATAATAACTGAACTCTGGTGAGAGATAACTCATGATGGACTATATCTGTAATGTAGCGGGAATAGAAGTCAAGTATGGAGGTTGTCAGCTATGCTTCTTTAGCCCCTGTGCTGTATCTAAAAATACAATTAAATAAAATTACATGATGGATTATGCAGAAAATAATGTGTAACAAGTTTTACTTTTACAATATTCATTTAATTGAATTGACTGGATATGGCTTCATATTTCTTGTATACATTCCACATTATTAATTCCAGCTAAATATGAGTCACAAGCCTAAATTGACTGCACTTTTTCATTTATGATCAAAAATAATTGTGCAACCTCAAGAGCATGAAATACAATATTAAGAGCTGTGTAATGAGCAGGGCGGGGCGAAGAGCAGTGGGAACGGAGCGAGCTTAATGAACGACACCTATGAGTCACGCCAGTCCCACGGAGAAGCTCCGGAAGGATAAGAGGAGGATTTACGACAGTGGAAGACGAGAGAGGACCAGGCCTGGGACTTTTAACCCTCTGGGGTCGGCTATCTCTATTCAAACGCAAATGATCTGAGGCGATACATGCAAACGTGTCAACACCCACATCAGCTGGATAAAACACAACAAGTTTAATCAAGACAGTGGGGCTCGACAGCCTTAGTCAAACGGGTTGGCGCGTATGGTTGGGTTGCGGAGAGATTGTGAGATTCTGGTTAGGTCTCAGCAGCAGGAGGGATGTAGAGGTCAGTAAGCTGGGCTGAGTTGAGTGGGGGACGGAGGGGGGTGACTCTGGGACGCCAGAGTCACTGTCGAGCCCTCTTGAGGTGTCGTGGGCTAGTCGACGAAACACTGAGAACGGAAGGTGTCCACTTGAAGACCCTAGAGATGTCCCCTACTCGGCTCAATCCAGACGGTTGTCGTGCTGGTCCTGTAGTTGCAGCCGTCGCGTGTGCTGACGCGCCAAGTACACTGGAGCCGTTAACGCCGGACAGAAGGGGAGTCACACCACCATATGGAAAGAAGCGTAAATGGATGGAGAAGCATAGTTTACTGTAAAGCTACGTCTTAGTTTTGCTTATCTTGGCGAAAGCCGAGTACAAATCAGCATGAAGTTTCAACATCTACTCTCGTGTAATGGAAATCAATCAGATTACAGTAGGCTACTTTACGTCGTTTTGCCCCAGATAGCAATGAGTCGGCGGACCACCGTCGGTTCTCCGGCGGCAGTAGAAGCGTCAGAATGGCGACATCGCAAACACGTTGGACGGCGCACCACCGGCGGCTGCCGCTTCCTACCGCCTTCGTTAAGCGGCCGTTCCGCGGGCCAACCGCCATTCCGCCGTGCTTTATATTGAAGGCCGTCCTTCCGCGGCCCGCCGGAGGCAAACGCTATTTTCGAGCGCTCTGCCGCCGCTTATTCTGGCTATATATATATGTATATTTTTTTTTTTTTTTTTTATTTATAGCATGCAGTTTATCAAGAATAATGATTGCTCAAACCAGACAAATTTACAATTGGCATTTTTACTCCACATTTCAAAGTACAGTAACTGTCATTTAAACAAGATGTTTCAGATCACTGAAACATAACAGCAAAATAAATAAATCAATATACTAACATGCAGGTTTCCAATTCAATTTTGGTTAAACAGCCTTACAAGCAAATTACAACACTTACAATAAGTGTTCATATAAAAAGGACAGCTCTAGGGTAACAAATTACCAGTAAACATTATGACAAGTAAAGAGGATATTTGATACCAAATAATGTGCAAGATACCAAATAAATAAAAGTATAACTACATTTACAAGCCATTTCTAACAATATGATAAGTGGTAGTAATTTATAGTAAAGCTCTGGAGTAGAATAGGCCATTATAACGGCAATGCTGACCTGTGGCACAAGGATTTACAAGCTTTATTTGAAAAAGAAAAAAAGAAAGTAATTTCCACAGTGAGTGAGTGTAGTCTGACACTTCTGACTTCTTTAGGGGTCTTGATTCTACTGACTGCAAGATAAAGAAAGGATTCCAGTTGTTAGTGATTCTGGGGTGTCAGTAGTCAGTCTAGTTTTAAGTGGTCGGCTGTGGGTCCCTCTCAGCTGTGCGGCGCCTTTTTCTGCCTTCACGGTCAGATGCTCCTTTCAGGTAACGCGTAACGTTAACCTGGACCGCCTCATCAGTGCATCCTGGGTTGCCGGGTCCTTCCGGATGGCTAATATAGAAAATACAGATCTGTCATTTAATTTGAATTGCATGAGGACAATAGGACATACACATCTACTTAAATCTAAAAAAAATATCCAACTTACTTTGAACAATGGTCTTCAGGAACATGTCTCTAAAACATGCTTTATCCCCTACACCAAGCTGAAAATCCAAAAAAAGTGTTACAAATTACATTTCTCTGAAGCTTCTCATAAATAAATAAAAAATGTGAAAGGCTAAGGATTCAGACTGTAATATATGCAGTATACAATCTTAAATTTTACTTTATATCTAGGTCTACTACATGTACAGGTAGCCCCAGTGGGAATTAAACCGACAGCCACAGGTGCTGTTTGCAAGTTGTACCTAATTGCTCAGTGCAAGCAAACGTCTTCAACATTGTTTGTTGAACTTGCTTCACCTGCTCTTGAAGTAAGATTTTACAATTCGTATTTTTATATGTAATATTGTAGTGTTTATTATAAATGATTTATCTGTGCACTTCATTATTCTTTTAAAATTCATGTAGCCTTATAATCTTTAATCAAATACGTTACCCTTCCCTCCCCCTCGAAACGACTTCTCTTCTCTTCCGGTCATGTGCTATGGCGCGAGGGCATGGCAACTCCCCTCAAACCGTGCTATGAGCAGAGATGGAGAAGAGGAGCGCTAGAGTAAAACCCTGCCCTCCGTTC